CTCCAAATAATAGTCAATCAACTCCTTCTGTGTTTTTCCGTTTGGATAAAATTCTTTCTTTTCTTGACCAGTACATCCATTTTTCTCTTTTAGCAGATCTAATTTATTGTTAATTTTATTGCCATATTTTTGATGATATTGCTTTGTATGTGACGACCCTTCTCCTTTATGTCGAGAAGAACCCCCCCATGGAAATAAAACTCCAAAACAATGCATTAATGAACAAAATAATGAAAATAAAATTAATTTTCATCTTAAATTTTTGTCTTGTTTTTAGATAAAAATTTTTGGAGTATGCCGATCTGAATGTTTTCTTGCCGGAGAAGAAAACTCGAGAAGTTTACAAGCTTTAGAAAGCGGAAAACCTTTATTCTGATCTATTCGGAAATAAATACAGTAAAGCAGCTGGGATATACATAGCTATTTCTCTCCTTTAGCTAGGCAAAAGGTTATTTAGGAGGCTGGGAGCGAACCAGCATCTTCAATAGACCGGACTGATGTGTTAGCCATTACACCACGCCGTCTACTGCATAGCCTTAGGAATTAAATAGCTATATGCTTTACAATACTAAAATTCTGTTCCTAGCAACTTTTCAAGTGTATTTATTATTTTAGAAATTAAAATTTTTAATTTTTTGTTTTTAATTTATGAATTGACGTTAAGTCCTATTAGGGAATTAGAGAAAATTTTAGAGAGAGCTGTTTCTCGTAGATCCATGACAATCAATCATTTCGATTTCCTACACGTCGACATATAAAATTTACTAATAGGGGTAGAGATAAATTTTTAGAAATAGTGAAGATAGACAAAAAAGATAAATCGAGTTGGATTTATTTTTAGTGTTAATTAACGTGTTTCATTATGTTTTTTTCGTATGTTTCACCATGTTTGCCTACGTACAATTGGGCCGATATATTTGGACGCAAGCTGTTAATTTTTCCAAAACAATATTTTTTTGTTGTTTTATGTTTTGACGTTTTACTCTTATTTTTGTCCTGAATACAAAGGACTAAGGATGACCTGCCATATATGACTAAGGGTGACATCAGTAGATTTGGCGATTAAACAGGATATGAGAGTATGACTACATAGGATTGCTCTCTCTTACGAGAAGCTTAACGTCAAGTAACGTTCTGTTCAGGCTTGCAAGTCTCTTGAAATAATACCAAATAAATCTTCTAATACTTCAAGTTAGAATATTTTTTTAATTTCACGTAAAAATTATGGGTGGGATTTTAATAGAGGCATGCTTATATTATGTTGAATATTTACATTAAATATTAATTTAATCAACATTTTTTGTGACGAATATATATTTAAATGTGTTGTTACTTTTTTTAGAAAAAAATTCCGTCGACAGATAATATTATCCTATTTACAAACGAACGGATATATAAGCAATTTCCTAAATTAATTTCAGTTTTTGGTCTCGTTTTATTTAAAAAGTACACTAAAAAAGTGTTTATTTGAGACAAAATATGTTTTTAATAATCTCTGTTTTTTTGTATTTATTATTTTTAAATTATTATAGAACAATAAAATATTATTTTTGTGAAATTATATTTAATTTAAAATTTTGTTGATTGATAAAATTATTTTTTAATTATTTTCAAAATTAATTGGCTCCTGAATTTTGTTAATTTATAGGGCTAATTTTGTTTCAAACTGTGGCTAGCGGGGGTAATTAATAGGAAGGTGTTGGGTAATTATTTGAGAGAGGGTAAATCTTAAATATTTTGTTTTGAAAAAAATAATTGTCATTTATTGTGTTGCAAATAATAATTCAAAATAGATAATCGTTCTGTATTTTTTAGCAAGGCTATGATAGAAGAGGACGGTTTTCGAACATCTTTTTGGATCAAATTACAATTATCGACTTAAGGATTAGGAAACAAATTAGATAAATATAGGAAACTTAGCTATTTTCTAGGTTAAAGATTAATTTCAGGAAAAATTTTTTAATTTAATTAAATATTTCCTTTATTTAATACCTACTAAATGGGTAAGTTTAATGTTTCGCCATTATCCTTATCCCTACTAAATATAAAATGTGTAACATAGTTTCTATAAAATATTTTCTATTTAAAATCTTTTATGAAATAATTTTAAACACAAAAAATAAATGTCAAATTAATTTAACTGAAGATAAGTTTAAACATTTATTTTCTGAATTGCTTCACATCAGAGGTGAATCGGAAATGACGATATTTAACTAAATATTGATATTTAAATAAATATTTATTTCCTTTTCTCTTTTTAAATAATTATTTTAGTCGAAACTGTCGGGAATCGGAAATCAGAATTCCATTTCACCCTGCTTCACATTTATTAGTTAAAAATTAATAATATTATTAAAATGTCAAAAAGAAAGTAGTTCTATTTACTATAATAGGTCATGGGATTCGTTAGATTGCCATGTTTATTTTAATTATAATTTTTAAAATATTTTCCAAAATAAACTTATTTTTATTGAAAAATTTTGATATTTACCTAAATATTTATTTCCTTTTCTCTTTTTAAATAATTATTTTAAATAATAATAAGAAAAACGACAAAAACAATTTACAGACAACAATATATACTATCCTTATTTTTAATTTAAAAAATCTCATAGACCCCTTTCAATTCCTTCTAATCGTGAGAACCTAAAAATCTCAATTCCCCCCCCCCTTCCCCCTCCTTATCCTCTCTCCAACTACCCTCTCCAACTCCCCACTCATTTCCACACACCTTTTCGCGCAATTCAACGCCCACTTTCTAAGCTTTCTTTTTGGCACACATTTCCGTGACTTGGCAGCGACATTTTTGAGATAAAGAGAAAGAAAGGCTAGTTATGCCCCTAATCAACAAAAGAAAAAAATTTTTTCTTTCAATCCCCTCAAATAAAGCGGCGCTTTTACCCACGATATGTGGGCATAAGTGCGTGTAATTTTAATGAGTACAAAATTATTTTATTTTCTTCCAATTTTTATTTTCTCAATTCTTCGAATCTCGACACAACTTTTCTTTCATTTTAGAAAAAAATTTTTTTAATTAGGCCAAAAACTAATTAGACAAGTTTATATTTATGGAAAGACACGCGATTGGGCACATCTTTTTATTTAGGGGGTGTTGGAGAGGAAGGAGATTATGGTAATAAGAATGGAATTCTCTTTGTGTTAGTTCACTTCTTAAGAAATTTAATAAAAATTATTAGAATTAAAAATTTAATTTTTTTATATTTTAAAATAAATCTTTAAAATTAAAAAAAATTCAATTTAAAATAAATTTAAAATAAAATTTTTCCCTAAATTTATTTTTAACAAAATAGAGATAGTATCAGCCATTTTGGCACCCTACTTAAATTATTTTTTTTATTCTTCTTTCAATCCCCTCAATTTTTATTTTCTCAATTTTTGTAGACACATACAGTAATTCTCCCCTTAATTTCTCCCGTCACCTCTTTTACTTAATAATTCTCCCTCTAATATTAAACTTTTAATTATTTTGAAAAATACAAAATATTTAAAAAAATTTGTTTTATATCACTAAAAAATTTATTTTGTATTAAAAAAACATTTAAATCCAATTTTCGTTTGTTTACATTCCCACAAACAAATTTTTGTAGACAAAACTATAAAAATATAAAAATACAACTTTTCCCCTCAAAATTGTAAATTTAAATTTTTAACTATATTTTTATAGTAATTGTAGAAAAATACAAAAATTTTGTACGTTTAAAAATAAAAACACAAAAGTTGCTTATTTTTAATTAAACTTTATTTTAAAGAAAGCAGAGTTGCGTCGTAATCGAAAATTTTTTTCGTAACCGTAATTTTAAAAAAAAATTCGTAATCGTAGTTCGTAACTCAAAAAATGTCGTAATTCGTATTCCTAATTTATAAAAAAATATATAAATTAATTTAAAAAATCAAATATTTATTAATTTAAGAAATTAAATTTAAGATTATAAGAAAAAATTTAAGAGATTCTGTTCCGAATAATCCCTCCACAAGTCCTTTTATTTCTCTGATATTACTTCAAATCCCAATTAATTCCCTGATATCCCTCTCCGACATCTCTTCAATCAATCATACAAAATCATCTTCCCAGATTAAGGGTTTGATATCATTTGATATCACTCTCACTTAATCCTGACAAAATTTAACAAACTTCTACTTAATACGAACCTTCTAATCCCTACAGATCCCCTGATATCCGTTCAAACCCGAAACAAGACCTGTGTTTTTTCGTAATTTTTATTTTCGTAATTCGTAATTTTTCCCGATATTTTCGTAATCGTAATTCGTAACTCAAAAAACGCCGTAATTCGTAATCGTAATTTGTAATTACGACGCAACGCTGAAAGAAAGAAATAAGGTTTAAATGGAAAACAGAATAAACAAGGAAATAAACTTTAAATAAAACTTTTTTGTATTTATTCTGATAATGTTTTCTTATTTTAATAAAGTTTTTAACTACCAGAAATGTATTTTCATTTTATCTTTTATGTTTGTTTAAATAATATTCTGATTTTTATTCTGATTTGTTCTAATTATTTATTTTGTGTTTTTAAATGTTTTAAACATTTTTGTGTTTTTCTGATGTTTCGAGCAATGTTTATAAAAAATTCTGATTTGATACTAATCCAACCTTGTTTGAAACATGTGTCTTTGAATGTGTTTTTGTTTTTTCCAACTTTGTTTAGTTAGAAATTTGTTTCTGTGTTTTTTTCTGTGTTTTCGCTAAAACTTGTTTTTATTACAACATTTGTTTTATGCGATTAATGCTTCAAAACATTTTTTCATGTTTTAGTCATTCCAACTTTTTCTTACAACTTGTTTTGTTCAAAACAAGTTTATTTATGTTTTTATACCATATTTTAGTTGTTGTGATTGAGTTAAGTTTTAATTTATTTTTCAAACTTTGTTTTTCTATCAAGTTTGTATTTTTGCTCAACATCAAATTAAATAAACTTTTTGTGTTTTAGCTAAACAAAAATACATATTTGTTTAATTAAATGAACACAACATCGCAAACACAAAACAATAATTTATCACAGTTTTGGGCTACCGGACAAACATCAATTCCCCCCATCACTTCTCCACTAGGTGTTTCTAATGTTTTTTATGGAGCACCAAGTTCACTTAAAGAATCTGAACAAAACAATTCACCTCAACAAAACCAACTTTTTCAAGCATTATCTTCAACCAGAATTAATTCTTCTGAAAATGTTGAACAACAAAAACATTTAAATTCTCTTGCTTCAGAATCTTCTACTAATTCTGTTTTTAATTCTGCTTCTATACAACAAAACAATCAACCGATTGTTTCGAATAATTTTTCCGGAATACAAAATAACAATAATAACGATATTTCTGTTAATTTTCGTTCTCCTCTTTCTGGTAAATTTTATTTAAGAAATTTAAAAAGTTAAATAATACCAGAGATGAGATTTCTGTAATATCAGAAGAAGGGAATTTAAACTCATATTAAGAGTATTCCAACTTACGACCATATTGAATGGTTATACCGTATTTACTCGATTTATTGCCCTCAATCCCGCAAGAGTTTGAAACATTAATTAAAATGGGGTTGCCGTTTCCGAGTCGGGCCGACGTTCGAGTCATTTTTTCGGGCCTCATTTTTTTCGGGCCGGTCCGACCGAGTCTTTTTCGAGCCAAAATTCTATGCCCGACTCGATCTTTCGGAACAAACAGGCCGGCAACCCTAATTACAAAGTATACTTAATCAGATACGGTATACATTAGAGACGGACCTGAGAGAATCGTACGAGATTCAAGATCGATCTCGTCACAAAAAAAAATAAATTGTAATTTCTTTAGCGAATTCAGCGCCATTCGAATCAGCTACAACCAACTTTGCCCGTCATTTCCCAACAAATCTGCTACCTTCAAGTACTTCGAACCTTTCTTCTGTTGTAGCAGCAAATTTTGATTGTATGGGCCTTATGAATTTTGGACTTTCTTCGAATGGTAATTCTTCAGTAATTGGACACAATCCCTCCTCACAATTCACCGCTTTTTCTCCAACAAATTTCAACTCGACAGCAGCAACGCTTCAATCAAATACCTCCGCTGCACTTATGCCTTTTGCTATGTGCAACATTTATGCTAATAATGGGGACAGTATTAGCGGTGGAGGAAATAATGGAATAGGAATAAATAATTCTTCTTTTATTGAAAAACCTACCCCCAAAATAAATCAAATCCAATTTTGTTCAAATAATACTTTGACAAATAATCAACAGGTGATTAATATAGTAATTATTGTGAATTAATTTGAATTGGGGAAATACTTAAAAATAAACCCAACATCTTTATAGTCCAGTAATTTCTTGAAATATCTTACTTAAATATCTTAAATATCTTATAAAGCTACCAGTCTTCGAGTTATATGTAGAAGAGCTCATATTAATGGGGACCTCTTATTGTGTTTGTGAAGTCAAAAAAACCCCAAAATAAATCAAATACAATAGTCTCGAATATACGAAGAGTAAATGTTTAGCGCTCGGACAGATAGAATATGTGACTTACCGTATTTACTCGATTAATTCCCCACCCTCGAATAATTCCCCACCCTCTATTAATTCCCCATGCCAGGGATGAGTTGAAAAAATAATTTCCCTCCCTCGAATACCCTATTACACGTTCAAATTTCAAAACTCGAATAATTCCCCTCCCTTGAATAATTCCCCATGCCACGGATGGGTTGAAAAAATAATTCCCCAGGGGAATTAATCGAGTAAATACGGTAGTCACTGATCTGGAACCTGCAATAAACTTTGCTTAACTTATTGTTTTCCTCCAACAGATGAGCCTCGTCCTAAACACTTATTTTGATCTTAAAGTTTTAAATAAAATCTAGTTCACTTCTTTACAATATTATTATTCCTTTATCTATCTAATATCTTAAAGTTAAAATAAAGTTTTTTAAGAATGAATCACAATTACAATTAATGGATCTGAGTACCCGAACAGTATCAAATAACTCTACTAACAGTTCTGTCAATTCTAATGATGTCTCAAAAAATAATGGAAATGATTTCAGGCACCCACATATAACAACTATAAGTAAAAAATATTTTAATAAATTAATTGAGTTAAGAAAGAAATTTTGAGAAATATTGAGATTTTTTAAGAAAATTGAGATAAAAATCCCAAAAAATAGCAAAAGAGCTTTCAGAATCAAGATTATCATCCATAGCTTTTAATCAAATAAGGAAGCTTTATGAGAGCTCCAAGCATTAATTTTTCGCTAATTTTACAGAGCTTGAAAGTGAAGGACAACAAAGCGCATTTGGAACTTTTAATGGAGAAAAAATAAAACAAGAAATTATTAATATCCCAAAAGAGTGGGTTTTTTTCAGAAAGAATTTTCAAAAAAAATATTTTTCAAATTTCCTTCAGAACAACAATTCCTTTGGAATCCTCTCACGAAGCAACATTCTCCACTACCTCTGAACGTATCCAAACCCAATTGTGTTGTCAAGTCTGTCACTTGGCTGCTTCAAATGGCCTTCACTTTGGGGCGCGGACATGTGCTGCTTGTGCGGCCTTCTTTAGACGGTCAATAAGTGACCAGAAAAGATATATTTGTAAAAAATCTCAGCGGTGTGTGATTAGACCGAGCGATATTGGAAGTTGGAAAATTGAAAATTTTCAAAAATATTTTTTTTCAATTTTTAGCGCAAGGATATAGAAAAATATGTAGAAATTGCAGGGTTGGTAGTTTTTTATTTTTAAATATTTTTTTGTATTGTTTAGATGAGAAGATGCTTAGATATTGGCATGCTTCCAGAGAGTAAGTAAAAATATTTAGAAAAATTATAATATTATATAGCGTTTTTATTTAAATAGAAGTACATCCTGATTTTAAGCCCCACTTTAAATGATAATAAAAACACTCCTTTAACACTCCTACCCACCCCCCCCCTCCTCCTCTAAATCAAAAAAGGTCAGACAAATAAAGAATAATTTTTCTACGTTCAACTTCGATCTGAGTGAATGAGGGAACGACCCAAAAAATTTTGTTCTCCTAAGCAGAGGGTGATCGGAAATGACAAAGGTGCCGGAAATCGGAACTGTCGGAAATCGGAAATGGCTCAAAAGTCGGAACTCGGAAATCGAAAGGAAAAAACGTTGCAAATCGGAATTCCGACCGACCTCTGCTCCTAAGATACAAATTGAAATAACCTAATCATTATGTTGCAAAATTTATCTAATCTGAAAACTAAACTATAACTGATTTAAATTCATTAAATGTATATTTCGAAATTCACTCCCCTTAAGATTAACAGTATTGGATTAGGTGTATAATTACTCATCAATTCTTTTCTTCTAGATGTGCAAAATAAAAGGAATAAACGTGATTATTTCTTCGCGGATACATTAAACAATGCAATTCAAAATAAAGATATTCAACAATCACCTACTACAATGGAACAACAAAATAAACTCCAATCCTTGTCTAGAACAGAAATTGACAAACTTCTGGGACCCCACTTTAATAAATTGACTGAACTTAATGAATCACAACCATTTACAGGTGAGGCAAAAAGGGGTGGTATTACTCTCATCTTTTCAATTCTTTGCCTCTCTTCTCCTCATTGCTAATCATATGGTTGGCAAATCTGGATATCCAGAACGGAAAAAAAATCCAGGCAATCCTTCGGTTTTGTGGTCCCAACAAAAAATATGTTTAGTATATATTTTTAGTCGCCAAGGGTTTAGTTATGTCAAAATAAACGGTCGACGTCGAGTTCCATAGCACCAACATGAAATAGAGCTTTCATTGACTAAATAAATTTAATAATTCTCTAGAAATAACTAAAAAAAATTAATCGTTTGTTTAAATTAATCGTAAAAATTTAAACAAAAACTAAAAATCCTAAGAGGTTTCGATAATTTCTATTAGAGGGATTTTACAAGCCCCCCTCCCCTCAGCCCCATTCTTGAAATGATCCCGAATGCGGAATTTGGAATTTTTTATATATTCATTTGACCCAACTGTGGTTGAACATAGAACCTCGTTTCGGAGCAGTTCCATAGGTGGAACATAATTTTACATACATTTTCCGATCTAGAAGAATGTATAAAAAATTTTGAATTAAATTTATTTTTTAAGACTAACATTCTAATATATTCACTCATTTTCACAGTTCCAACACAATTCCAAGCACTAACACAACAACAACAAAACTTATTGACATCCACATTAATAAATGAAACTCAGAACCCTTTGACTAACCTAGTTTGAGTCAACAAGACCAAAAAACCAAAATTTTCATTTTTTTGGAATTGAAGAACTTCGAGAAAGCAAAAATAAAAATTTTTCCAAAAATAATTTTAAAATGTTTATTTTTTCAAAATAAAATTCTAAAAATAAAATTAGACACCAGAACAAATTTTTGCAAAAAAAAAATAGCAAAAAATCAAATAATTTTATTTAAAAAAATTTTTGACTAAATATCAAATACCTCAAAATTCATTTTTTAATCGCTTCTTGCTTCTTTTTGTAATCATTAACGGCAGCTGATATAGCGTCCGCCGCCAACACTTAAAAGAAAAAAATTATTTTTAAAATTTTTTAAAATAACTATAGTAATTTTAAAAACTGCTCCCCCTCCCCCTAAACCCTCCCCATAGTTCCTTAATTTTTTTCTGTGTCAAAGTTTTAGAATGTTTGGGTTGACTCATTGCCAGCTAGGCTAGACAAGTCATATTAATTTTCACTCATTGTTAGTTATCTTAACCTGGAAAACATGCTGGCGGAAATATAAAATGGGGAGGGGAATTGTAAAATTACCCCTGATTTATAAGTAATTTAAAAAGCTCTCAAAATATCATTTCCCAAAAATGCAAACTTAAACATTTAAAAACAGAAAATACAAACTGCTGCAATGTAATTTGACAGGTGGAAGAGAAAGTTCTTTAGCAATTTGTTGATTCTTTATTTTTGCAGCAAAATCCAAATGTTGTCCCTTTATCATTTCGGTAGCCAGAGAAGAACTTGCAATTGCTGATCCACAACCAAAAGTTTTGAATTTGGCATCGACAATTTTTCCATTCTCATCAACCTAAATAAAGGGGAAAATTAGATTTTAATAATATTATTGTAGATAAAAACTGTAAATTAAATAGTCCTGAAATTAAACCAAAAATAGCAAAAAATATAAATTTATTGGAAATACAGGTACACTCGATTGTACGTTGACCCACGGGATGAAAACGGAGTAAGTAAAGCCGTTTAAATGAAATAAAGGATATTAGTCAGTTAGCTTCCCAATAAGGTTGTCGGTTGAAAATCTTCGGCTATCCTGCCTTTTTCGGATCCGGATCCGACAACCTTAATTCAAAATTTAGTGACTTCCCAAATAAAAAGAATGTACGCAAAATAGAATGAGAATTTGGGTCCACGTACAACAACCGGGCCAGAATTACAAAAAGATTTAGGAAACATCCCTAGATTTTTAAGACTACAAAAATTAAAGAGAAACCCCGAAAATATGACTTATTTGTAATTTAAAACCTTTATCTGCAATTTCATAACATCCCCGCAAGCAGGGGCACCTACCAATCCGGTGCCTATTGTAGGGTCATTTTTGTCCAAAGAGCCAACATTTTTTGGGTTTTTATAATGATCTAATACGTTTTGATGGTAAAATGAAGTTGCTTCAATTTTGTTGAAATTTTTAATAAGATTTAACGATGAACGTAACATTGTTCTAAAAATAAGGGAAATTTAGACAAAACACAAAAAAACTCGAAAATGTACAAGTATATTTACTCAAAAAAACAAAAAAAAAGCTTGACCTTTCTGATTTCAAAATCTTAAATAAAAAGACACGACCAAGTAGGCGCGAGACCATAAAGGCGCTTAGCCATAACTTGCTGGAAAATTTCTTGTCCTTATCAATTTTCGTACCAATCTCTTTAGCTCGATGAGAGGAATAGTATAATGCTAAATTTGGTAAAATTCGTAAGTCTTGAAGCAAGTTATTCTTTCGCGCCTTTATGGTCGCGCGCCTACTTGGGTACCCGTAAAAAAAGTAAGGAAATTCCTTACATAATGAAATCACTTCTTTCTATATTTCTCTAATTTATAATTCTTCACACTCTCTCACATAAAATGAAAAAATATATAATTACATAATATCTAATTTAAAAATGTCAAGTAGGACAAAAATCGCCTAATAATCTTTATTTTTCTCTAACTTGTATTAATTCTGTGTTCTCTAACCTAAAAATGTAAAAATTAGAGAAAATACAAAATATCAAAATTTTAAAATGTCCAGCACTACGAAAATGACTAATACTACAATCTTTAGTCTTTAAACTCTATTCCGACGAGCATCCGTGATTTTTTTTATTTTTATAAATACTTTTGACTCTTGACCAATTGTTTGCAGTCAGTCTACTTTAGGTGGATGGCTGTTATTATTTTTTTTGTGGAAATAGTTGACTTTCATTTCAATCCTTTTCCTCAAATCAATATTCGGGTATTGTGACTTATAGTGGGTTTTTTTTGGCTGGACCGATTTCGACAAATGAGGTGTCATTCGAAAGAGCTTCGAAAACTGAGTCGAACTAGATATGGGGGAAGTCGATCCGACAATCAGGGACCGAGTTACAGACCCCTGAAGTTTGAAAAAGAGAAGGGGGGAGTAAGCTCAAATTGGGTTGAAAAATTCGAAAATGCAAATAATAGCTCATTCGACTCCTCTCGACGAGCTGAGTCGAATGACACCAAAATCACCAAAATCCGACTTGATTGGACAAAGTTATGATCGTTTGTTTTAGCTCCTTACCTATGGTCTATGTGGAGGTTTTTGCTGCTACGGAGGCCCCAAGTACGTCCAGAACAAGGGAGATAGGAATAGGTTTATGTTACGAGCCCAGACCCAGCGCCCGTAGACTCCCCGCGAGGCGCGTGCCGCAAAACCCCGCGCGAAGCGCGGGGTTTTGCACAAGCGCCTCGCCTACGCTCCATAGGTTTATGTTGACCATTTTGAACCTGTTTATCTTGGCTCAGAATCAAGATATCGAGCTGATTTTGGTGTCATTCGACTCAGCTCGTCGAGCTGAGTCGAATTAGCTATTATTTGCATTTTCGAATTTTTCACCCCAAAATGAGCTTACTCCCCCCTTCTCTTTTTCAAACTTCAGGGGTCTGTAACTCGGTCCCTGATTGTCGGACCGACTTCCCCCATATCTAGTTCGACTCAGTTTTCGAAGCTCTTTCGAATGACACCTCATTTGTCAAAATCGGTCCAGCCAAAAAAAACCCACTATAAGTCACAACATTCCAATATTCTTTTTAATAATTTTTACAATTTTTTTACTTTTTCGGAATAAACAAAAAAGAATTTTTTAGATTCGATTTATAACTAGAGTTCGAACTTTTCAAAATGCCGGGCCCGGGACCCGGTTTTTTTTCTCAAAATCGCACCCGGACCGGTTTTTCCGGATAAAACCGGAAAAACCGGTTAGCCCGGAAAAACCGGATTTTTTCATACCCGGGCCCGGACCCGGTTTTTTCTAAATTTATTAAAAACATAAAAAATCTACATACCCAATGATACCCGTGATATCCCGTCTACATACATATATCTTTATTAGTGTAAGGCAAATGGATTTAGTTGGTTAACACGATATAACGTGAGATTTTGGAGAATGAAAAGGATATAGGGGGAATTATGGTGATATCAATGTAAAGAAGTAACTTCAGTTGAAACCTCGATGTCTAGAAGTATAACGGGATTAGGAACGATGTGAAGGGATAAAAGGGCAGTGGAGGGTTACAGTGTGATTAAGTGGATTTAAAAGTAGCTACTTACTAGAAACCACCCGTAATCCAGATAATCCCGTTCTAAAATTTAGCGAGATCCTGCGGGATTTCTGGGTTTTCACATAATAGATATCGGGGAGATATGAGGATTTGAAGGGATTAAGGGATTTAAAAGGATATCTGGGGATATTTGTAGTGATATCTGGGTTATAAGAGGATTTTGAGTGATATCGGAGGATTTAAAGAGAGTGGAGCATAAACTAAAGGATTAAGAGGCCAAAAATCCGCTTTTTAGCGCCGCAGGCGAAAATTTTGAGAATTTCTAAGGTCTTAGGCCGAAAAAATTAACTTTTTCTGCACCGCAGGCGAAAATTTTTAGAATTTTGGAGCTCAAGCAGCCAGATCTCTTCCATACTCAGCGGGCTGCAGGTAAACTAGTTCCAGACATTTACTAGTTCCGTAGTTCCAGTTCCAAGCTAGTTCCAGGCATTTACTAGTTTCGTAGTTCTAGTTCCAAACTAGTTCCACATGATCGTTAGTTCCGTAGTTTTAGTTCCGGAACTGGAACTAGAACTAATTAGTTCCGGAACTGAAACTAGAACTAATTAGTTCCGGAACTGGAACTAGAACTAATTAGTTCCGGAACTGGAACTAAAACTAATTAGTTCCTGAACTGGAACTGCACTGTAACCCACTAGAGTTCTTACTTTTCCAGCGCCGCAGGCGAAAATTTTGAGAATTTTGGGAGATCCTTAAGCCAAAACTTCCATTTTCAGACAAATTTACATTCCAAAACTCCCACTCCGGGCCCGGCAAAAAATTACCGGGCCCGGGACCCGGTTTTTTTACACAAAATCGCACCCGGGCCGGTTTTTCCGGTTAAAACCGGAAAAACCGGTTAGCCCGGAAAAACCGGATTTTCCCAAAAATACCCGGTTCCGGGCCACCGGGCCCGGAAAAAACCGGTCCGGGCCCGGCCCGGGTTCGAACTCTATTTATAACTCTCAATTTAATCTCTAACAATGCGTGAGATTGTTCATATCCAAGCTGGCCAATGTGGAAACCAAATCGGGTCAAAGGTATGTAAGTAGTTAATTTACCCCCCCCCCCCTTTTAGAGCATATTTCTAACTTAAATGCTTTTAAGTTGGATGTATACACTTCCAGACAATACTTTTATAATTAGGTTTTTTGTTTAACCAAGACCAACTAGCCAGTCCAATTCAATAGATTTTAGGTTTTGGGGTATTTTTGAAATTACGATTATATGACTCAGCTCCAAAAGTGGTTCGAATGAGCTATCATTCATATATTTTGGATAAGGAATCCTTTGTCAGCAAAAATCATGTTTCTTGAAAATCTTCGATTAAATTTGTCTTATCCTCGATTTCTCGGGATGCGAGCTCGAAGTATTCAGGACATGATAATACTTGGAGAAACTCCAGAAAATTCCGGATTTTTATGAATTCTCTTTCCTAAAATTTGATTCCCCCTAAAAATTTCGTTAAAATATTCAAAACACTAATTAAACAAATTTAAGTTCTGGGAGGTCATTTCCGACGAACATGGCATCCAACCTGATGGAACGTACAAGGGGGAATCTGATTTACAACTTGAAAGGATTAATGTTTACTACAACGAGGCTCACGGTTTTCTACTTTAAATATTTTTTAATTTCTATTTTAGGAGGAAAATACGTCCCAAGAGCTATTCTCGTCGATCTGGAGCCTGGAACAATGGATTCAATAAAGGCCGGACCTGACGGTCAACTTTTCCGTCCTGACAATTTTGTTTTTGGTCAGAGTGGTGCTGGCAATAATTGGGCGAAAGGGCATTATACTGAGGGTGCTGAATTGGTCGATAATGTTTTGGATGTTGTCAGAAAGGAGGCAGAAGGATGTGATTGTTTACAAGGATTTCAGTTAACTCATTCGCTTGGAGGAGGAACTGGTTCTGGAATGGGGACTTTGTTAATTTCAAAAATAAGAGAAGAATATCCTGATCGTATTATGTCGTCTTTTTCTGTTGTTCCTTCGCCGAAGGTTTTTATATATTTTAAATCGGACTTGAATGAACTCTGAATAGGGGGCATTGGATTTTATAATTAAACATGTCCTGTCATTGATTTTAGCTCCTCACATAAAAGCAGAGAATCTTAGGGTTTTTCTATCTACTTAACTGTATTGGATCCGATCTTAAGTTCAAGAAAAATCTTGGAAGTTAAAAAATGCTTAAGTTGTGGGGCAGCATGTCAAATTTTGATTTTTTAAAATTCATTTTAAGGTCTCTGACACCGTTGTCGAACCTTACAATGCTACTCTTTCTGTTCACCAGCTTGTTGAAAACACTGATGAAACTTATTGTATAGACAACGAAGCTTTGTATGACATTTGCTTCCGTACTCTTAAATTGACAAATCCTACTTATAGTGATTTGAATCATTTAGGTTTGTTTAGTCCTTTTTACATATACATATTTTCCCTCACTAAACATTCAAAATTTAATCAATTTTCAGTTTCTATGACCATGTCTGGTGTCACCACTTGTCTACGTTTCCCAGGCCAATTAAACGCCGATCTTCGAAAATTAGCTGTCAACATGGTTCCATTTCCACGTCTCCACTTTTTTATGCCTGGATTTGCGCCTCTCTCGGCCAAAGGTTCTGCTGCTTACCACGCTCAAAATGTTTCCGAATTGACAAAACAAATGTTTGATGCCAAAAATATGATGGCTGCTTGTGATCCTCGCCATGGACGCTATCTGACCGTTGCAGCAATATTCCGTGGCCGCATGTCGATGCGTGAGGTTGACGATCAAATGATGTCAGTTCAAAGCAAAAATTCTTCATATTTTGTTGAGTGGATACCAAATAATGTCAAAACAGCGGTTTGTGATATTCCTCCTCGTGGTCTTAAAATGTCTGCTACTTTTATTGGAAACTCTACTGCAATTCAGGAATTGTTTAAACGAGTTTCTGAGCAATTTACAGGTTTTTATTTTTTTATTTGGCTGTTTGTTGAAATTTAGATCACGTTTCTATCCGTTAAAGGTTTCAACTAATATTGGGTTTTGTTGGGACTAATTGTGAGTCTCAATCCGGGTGTTTTACTTTGGAAAGTCACAATCCTGATATTTTTTGCCTGTAGGTTTGGTTCGTGGTCCTATTGAATTATTAGAGTATTTGTCTAAAATTCAATATGTTTTTAAAATTTCTTTTTTCCTTAAGACCTTTTTCTGGTTAATCCCTATTTTTTCCTTTTTGCGGATAAAACTTGTGGATTTCTAATTACTTTGAATTTCATTTACAGCAATGTTCCGTCGCAAGGCATTTTTGCATTGGTATACTGGTGAGGGAATGGATGAAATGGAGTTTACTGAAGCTGAATCTAATATGAACGATTTGGTTTGTATTTTTATTATTTTCATTTTCTCTTGGGAAATTTCTTTGCATCTAATTTATTTGGTTTTAAACTTTTTTCATTTAAGGTGTCAGAGTATCAACAATACCAAGATGCGACAGCTGATGATGAAGTTGAATATGATGCTGAAATAACTGAACCGTTGGTAAATGAGCAATAAATAATAACATTAACAAATATAAAAATACAATTTTTGGTTTTTGTGCCTTTTATTTATTTTACTACAATTTTTTTAAAGAAGAGCTGCCTTGTTGTTTTCAATTATTTTTAAGTGTATGAAAATAATGAGACACCAGTTCCGTTTTTCTTAGCCATTTTAAGTTAATAAGTTTTTTATTGTTACAGATAACGTATACAATCAATTAATTACCCTGGGTAATTATTTTGTCAACCTCTCGCTATAGGGGTAATTATTTTCAGCTAATGCGTTACCCACGTTTAGACTTATATCGTAAAACCGTTTGGTTTTAATTTAGAATGAAAATTAAAACTAATTTTTCATACTCATCGTTGTTTTTATGGTATTTTCTATGGGTCGTCTACCTAAATGCATTAAAATATAAAAAATGTCAATATAAAATAAATGCCACTTTTTTATGGTTGAAGTTGGAATGAAAACTGTTAACGCGAATGAAGATTTTATTTAAAAAATTCGAACATATCTATTAAAAATCAAAAAATCCGACTTGATTTTACCGAAATTCGACTCAGCTCGACGAGCTCTTTCGAATGAGCTATCATTTTAAAAATTTTTTTAAATTAAATTGATTATTGAAAAATATTTTCCCACGATAATCTTAATTAAACTTACACTTTAATTCGCTTAATTTAACAAACAAAATATTTCTTAAAGGTCTATGTACTTTCCTTTCAACGATTTTTAAAATTTTAAAAAGGACATTATACAATCGCTTTCTTACTTTAACTCCTATGTATAATAAACAAGCAATTTTGATAGTTTTTGTGTTATTTTATTAAATACAAAAAATAAAACTTAATGAGTTGAACTTTAAAGAAAGTCTAAGTAAAGTAGCTGGGCTATAGCTATTTCTCTCCTTTAGCTAGTGAAAAAGGTTATTAGGAGGCTGGGTGTTAATCTTCAGTAGACCAGACTGATGTGTTAGCCATTACACCACGCCGCCTACTGCATAGCCTTAGGAATTAAATATGCTTTACAATTTTTAATTTAGGTAGTTTAGATGAATCTTATTAATGTCTTAATCCTTTTAATATTCAATTCGATATTATGGGGTTCAATTAATTCTGTAAAAAATAATAAAGATCAAAATTTAATTGAAGAAACTGATCAGAATTTAGTTAATTTTCATGAGAAGGTAAATAACGAGGCTGAATCATCGGCTAATCCTCAAAGTCAAAAATATAAAACGGCGATAAAACTACTAAATCACAAAACCATTAAAAATAGAAAAAATGACCTGAAAGGAATGAATGAGAATGAAAAAAAATTAAGGAGAGCTAAATATTTGGAAGATTACCGTCAAAAGAATAAAGAAAAGATAAAAGAGAGTTATCGAAAATATTATCAAAATAATAAAAAAGAAAGGCGAGAATATCAGCGAAAATATAGTAAAAATAATAAGGAAAAAAAGAGAGAATATGAAAGAAAATATAGTCAAAAGAATAAACAAAAGATAAACGAAAATAAAAGAAAATACCGATTAAAAAAGAAAAATGAAAAAGGACAAAAGGAAAATTTAGCTAATATTCAGTCAGATAATAATAAAGGAAACTCACAAAATGATTGTGTAGATAAAGGAAAAAATCCGATTGTTTGCGAAGAGAACGATCAAGAAGATCATTTAAATCAAGGATCTTCTCAAAAGTCCCTTCCCCATAATGAGGAAGGAAATTTATCTGTTAATCCACAAACGGATGGTTGTGTTAACCCTCATGAAAAAGAAAATGTTCAAATGGAAAATTCTCAACAATTAAATGAACTGAATGATTTGGATTATCTGAAGTTCTTGTCTGATATTAATTATTTGGATAATTTAAATTTCTTAAGAAATTGTGATGATATTTAAATATAAGCGAAGATTGAATTTGAGAATTTTTTTCGTATTAAGAACATTTATTTTTATTTTAACAAATTGTAAATTATGTTCTTAACTGTATTAATTAAACTAGTTTCTAATTAAAAAATTATTTTTATTATTATTATTAGCTAATGGTTACCTACGTTTATATTTGTATCGTAAAACCGTTTCGTTCTAGCCCTTAAACAGTTTAGTATAAAAGCCAGCCTATAGTTAGTTCTTTCTTCTTCTTGTCTCAGTCTTATTCTTTCTACCTACCCTAACCTTCATCTTATTGTATCTTCTACGTGTGATAAAGTATCCGTTATGAGCGTCTACGTAAGAGGGGACATAACAGATTTTTGGCGGGAGTATTGCGAAAGACGGAAAATGCCTGGAAATTTAAAGTGCCAGTGTTGAAAAGTATTGCTACAAAGACGTATAAAGAAATCTGTCGAGACGAGTGGAGTAATAAGATGGAAATGTTAAATGAAGATATTCAGAAATTGAACATTAGTGAGGACAAAGTAGTCAGTGAAAGTAGCAAAAGTTCATCAAGTGCCAATAGTGTGGACGAAGACTTCAATGGGAACAATCCAAAGATGAAAGAAGTTGAAGAAATCAGAAACATGGAGATGTAGCTGAACCAAATTTATAAATATGATAATATTGTCTTTGTATTATTGTTGTAATGTAGTGTTTTATTTTGTTGTTCCCAGTGTCCTTATCCCCCAAATTCTTTGTATGTATTTTGTTCTGTTTTGTTTGGTTGGGAAAGTTGTGAGTGTATTGTAAAGCTTCGGCTTAAAGTGAAAGTCGAACCTTTTTTTCAAGTTAACTTAAACAGTTCAGTATAAAAGCCATCCAATAGTTAGTTCTTTCTTCTTGTCTCAGTCTTATTCCATCTACATACCCCAACCTCATCATATTGTATTTTCTACGCGTGATAAGGTATCTGTTGTGTGCGTCTATGTAAGCGGGGAAATAACATCATTTTCTCACGATAATCTTAATTAAACTTACACTTTAATTTACTTATTAACAAACAAAAATATTTGTTAAAGGTCTATGTACTTTCCTTTCAACGATTTTTAAAAAGTTTTTTGAGAAGAAAAGTACAATTGTCTTTTTAATTTCATTATATTTGTCTGCCATTTCGACACCTAGCATTTTTGACGTTTCACTCTTATATAATAAACAAGAAATTTTGATAGTTTTTTCGTCATTTCATTATATTCAAAAAATTAAGTTTGACTTTAAAGAAAGTCTAAAAGATAAAGTCCTCTTAAGTTAGCGAACCTTTAAATTTTAAATTTAGTTTAGATGAATCTTATTAATGTCCTAATCCTTTTAATATTCAATTCGACATTATGGAGTTCAATTTCTTCTGTGAAAAATAATAAAGATCAAAAGATAATTGAAGAAACTAATCAGAATTTAGTGGATTTTCATGGGAAGGTAAATAATGAGGCTGAATCATCGGCTAATCCTCAAAGTAAAAAATATAAAAAGGCGAAACCTACTGAAATTACAGATAAGGACTTGAAAGGAATGAATGAGGATGAAAAAAGATTAAAGAGAGCTGAATATTGGAAAGATTACAATCAAAAGAATAATGAAAGGATAAAAGAGCGTAAGCGAAAGTATAATCAAGATAACAAAGAAAAAAGGCAAGAATATTATAGAAAGTATATCAAAAATAATGAAAAAAAGAGAGAATATGATCGAGAATACACAAAAAATAATAAGGAAAAAAGACGAGAATATATGCGAGAATACCGCCTAAAAAAGAAAAATGAAAAAGGGCAAAAGGATTGTCTAAATTTGACTAATATTCAGTCAGATAATAATAAAGGAAATTCACAGAATGATTGTGTAGATAAAGGAAAAAATCCGATTGTTTGCGAAGAGAACGATCAAGAAGAGGACGATCAAGGACCTTCTCAAAAGTCCCTTCCCCATATTGAGGAAGGAAATTTATCTGTTAATCCACAAACGGATGGTTATGTTTAGCCCCCTGAAAAAGAAAATGTTCAAACGGAAAATTTTCAACAATTAAATGAACTGAATGATTTGGATTATCTGAAATTTTTGTCTGATATTAATTATTTGGATAATTTAAATTTCTTAAGAAATTGTGATGATATGTAAATATAAGCAAATTTTCAATTTGAAAAATTTTTTTTCGAAGAACATTTATTTTTATTTTAACAAATTGTAAATTTTACAGGGCTCTCATCGACAAAATGCCACTCAAAAGTATCAAAATCTTGATAAAAAAGTATATAGGGAGAAAATTTCCAAATTTAAAGTATACTCAAAATTAAATTGGAAAATATTTGTTCGTGCTCAAATCTTTTATATTTCTCTCTTAAATGAATCTTTTCTAATAATTTCTTGCTTCCACTGAGCATTTTGTGCATTTCAACGCATGACATGTCGAAATTCGCTGATACAAGAAATAAAGCCCTGACAGTCTTAACCTCAAGCAAATTACTTTCGTCCATTTTCAGCGCCGCAGGCGAAAATTTTTTGAAATTTTAGAAGGCCGTAGGCAAAAAAATTCACTTTTTCAGCACCGCAGTCGAAAATTTTTTGAAATTTGGAGCCCAAGAAGCCAGATTTCTTTCTTTTTCAGCGCCGCAGGCGAAAATTTTTTGAAATTTTAGAAGGCCCAAGGCTAAAAAATTCACTTTTTTGCCCAATCCCTTCCCCAATTTCATTTTCAATCCAAAATGTTGATTTTAAAGTATATACTTTCAATAAAGTATAAATTCAATTTCTTAAGTATGGAGGTCGGTTTCAAAGTATAATACTTTCAAATAAAGCACGAATGAGAGCCCTGTTGTAAATCATTTTCTTAAATGTATTATTTAAATAAACTAGTTCTAGTTAAAATTATTATTCTTTGTCTTTAAATGTCGCTTCGAGGCACGTGAACACTAATTAAAAATCATTGTAGATCCAAATTTTCCTATTAACTGAAACGTAACTAGAGTTGTACCCGAACCCCATATATTTAGCCTCGGTCCTTGCAAGGTTATAAGCGAGGACCGAGAAGAGATTCCGAGGCTCTAGATTAGCAAAACCGAGGTCGAGGTTTTAAAATAGGCGAGGATCTCGGCCACGACGAGCCTCGACCTCGACCAACTTTATCTGAAACTATTTTGACTAATCCTTTCTAAATTTGAAAATAACCCTTTGTTAATCCATCCTTCCCCAATTACTTCTAAATTAGACTGAAGTTTAATTATTTAAAAATACATGTTTATATGCTTAAAAATCAGTCTAAATTACTGAATATATTTTGCCCTAATTAGAGTTCGCACACTAAAAAATCATAAATTATGAGTGAGATCTCTCTCTCTCTCTCAGTCCCTTCTCTAGGTAATAAAATTGTTTCCATATAATTATTTTTGACTAAATTCTCTCCCCCAAATACAAAGGTCAAATAAATTATTTCCCAACCATTTTAAAATAACAAAAAAAGAAATATATTTTATTTAAAAATGCTTGTCATTTTTAAAATGAATCATTTTGTCATTCTTAAAAATTAGAAAAAAAATTGGCTAGAAAAAATAATACATTCCCCCTCAATTCCAAATTTATTTTTTATTAGCCCCAAACATTTTTTCCTCAAAAATGGTCCTAATTTACAAAATTAACTTAATTTTATTTTTTAATTTATTACCTTTAATTTTTGTTTTTGGTGAATTGACAAGACATTTTAGGGAATTTTTGGACAAAAATTATGGGGGAGGTAGAGATAATTAGTTGATAAAAAGTAATTTGAAATAAAAAAATTTTTTAGAAATGGGGGGACAATTGAACAGGATGGATATGGGTGGATATTTGTATGGAAGTTTTGGTGGAAAGGAGGGGGATAATGATACGATTATAAATGAGGTAGTTTTTGAAGAATGGGGGATTATTTAAAATTTTAATCAAAACATAAAATTTTCCATACTTTATTAAAAGTAGGTAGGGCGCGGACCAATTTTCTATTAGATAAAATCAACTATTTTCATGGAAATACATATTAGTGAAACTATCAGTAAAGACTCCGAGGACTCTTAAAGATTGCCACTCTTTTATGTATCTATTATCAAGTATAATCTGGGGCCTATTTCTCCCCTCCACAGATTCTGCGGATAAAAATTTTGTGCAACAACGCAGAATCTGTGGAGAGGAGAAACCTGGAAAGATAACCTGTAATTGGGAAGATTGGATGCAAATCTGTTTCCCAAAATTGAATGGTGCTTAAATTTCTGATTCACAATTTCTGATAACTTAAGTTTTGCTTTCTCTCTGATTCTGTAAGCTTTGGCTACTATAATTAAACAACTAACTAAGCCTGTTTATAAATTATAAATAGAAAATGGCATAAGTAAATCCACAATCATATTCTAATTAACAAATTAATATTAAATGTACTTTAATTTCCAAAATTTTTTTATTAGCCAGTTATCTTCGTTCATGGAGTAACTTTACGGGCCGGCGTTTTTGTTTCTCATCGAAATTATTTTTTAGGGAAAGGATATTCCACATCTGAGGCAAGTTTTGACACCCACAAAAATAATTTTTTAAAAATAATTCTAAAGTTATACGCGACAACCTACGCCGATGGAGGGCATACTCCTTTTTATATGAATGAATTGGAATGTTCAAGTGTTAAACAAATAAGAGAGTTTATCCTAGCTGTTCATAATTATACTGAAAAAACTGGTAGGGATAAAATAACGGGATCTTTTCTCTTAAAGTATTTCTCTCAATTTGAATAATATGTACTTTCCAAATAAAACGTTATTAAACAATTTATTTATAGGGAGGGACTAATTTAATTATACTATCATGATTTTAAAAGTTTGATGAATGGGTTTAAACAAGCATAAAAATTAGGTTTGGAGTTTTTGAATTGGGCCGACGAATCTTTTTTGGGTCAAAATTCAATGCCCGGCTCGATCTTTCGGACTGGGCCGGATCGGGCCCTCAAGAGTTATCGGTTCTTTGCAAAATCAAAATTCAGAACCGAACCGAAAAACTGAACTGAACAAAATATCCGTTTATTAGTGTCCTAATTATTAATATTAATAATACTTTCTTAGAATTAGTAAATAATTTTTTAGAATTAAATTTAATAACAAATTCTTCAGTTGATATAATTGCCTATTCAATGGGTGTTGCAATCTCGAGAAAATCAATTCTTGGAGGACATTGTGTGGATACCGGTGAATTTTTGGGAGAACCTTTAACTGAATATATTGACACTTTTGGTAATTTATTTAAAAAATTTTTTAAAGAAAAATTTTTTTCAAAGTTTCGGTTGGCGGGGTTGCCTATGGAATGGAATGGTTATTAAATAAATTAAATCAAAAAAAATTTTTTTAACAATAATTAGGTGCCCCAAAAATCTCCCAGCCTGTAATATGATTGATGGAATGGTTTGTGATTCAGAATATATGATGGACATTAACCAGGCAATGGCTCGTTATGAGGGAGAAAATTCTTTTGCAATTTATAGCAGGTAATTTATTAAATAGTTAATAATTATTTTGAAATTTTATGTTGCTCTTAATAAATAATTATTATGTTTCGTAAATTATAATCTTAAAATTCTGTTTATTCTCATCTTTAAATTTTTCGGTAAATTATGTTTTACAGACACATCTCGATATGTCTTTAAATCTGAAACTATTTTATCTTATACTATATACATACCTATATAGGCTATCTTAAATAGAATCAGAATTTATTTGGTCCAGCCAGATTTAAAAATTTTATTAAAATAAGAGTGTTAGGTGTATCTACAATGTACATATTATTCTACATTTATTAATTTTATTTTTTAAATTAATAAATTTAGCTATTGAATTAATAAAATTAAATAAAATTAATAAAAATTATTTTTAATTTTTGTAAAATTAAAATTTTCTCTTAGGGTTAAAATTTTGATTATTGTGTGAAACTTCAAATAAATTTTGATTTTCTATTTTTTTAGTTTAAGGATTTTTTTCTAATATATTTTTGTTCAAAGTGCTTCTGAAAATTTTAAATAATCTCAATTCTTTAAATCAAAATTAATTTATTTTTTTAGAGATGATTACATTGTTGGCCAAGTTTGTTGTGGCCATCCCTGCAGTGAACTAAAAAATGCGAATTTAACTATAGCTATGCGTTATCATGACCACGTTACTGTTTTTACTAGAACAATGCCTTTGCAATATTCGTTGGTTACCAACCACAGCGGGGCTGATTATTGAAATAAATTTAAATAAGAAATTGTGATTTTATAGTAAAAAATTGTAAAATATATACTTATAATTTTTGTTAATATACATATACTTTAATATTTAAAAATTGTTTTAAAATTAATTATTTTAATGTAAAATTTTCGCTTGTGAAGTTAAAAAATATGTATAATAAATTTCCTTGACTCCTAAACATTTTTCACTTATAATTGTAAAATTTTTCGTCTGGACACTGAAATGTTGAATTTTGTGTGTTTAATGCATTTATGAAACAAAAATTTCCAACAGCTTTGCTGAACTTTTAATTTTCAATTTTATAGTGAACCCCGACACAAGAACCCGGATATTCCCTAATCGGCAAACACATAAAAAGATGTATTTTTGCAGCCTTGGGCCCAATTTCCACCCGAAGCGGAAGAGGTGTTCTTACCCGAAAATTTTCACCTGAAGAGGTGCGAACTATTGTCCAAAATTTTTCTACGCGCATTCTTTGTTTGAAAACAAGCAATTATAAAATTCTTGATTGTATTTGTTCAATATTTATTTACTGTCGGATTCTAGACATAGGTACGATGCTCGATTACTTTTGGGCCATCTTTAACTTCAAAATTCAAATCTATTTGGTCAAAATTTGGTTCTATTTTGGACTTAATTTTAGCCTTTTTAACCTTAATTTTATAAATAAATTATTAGACATAATTTCATAATAAATATAAAAATATTTTCTTTTTTATTAGACAAACATAATGAAATTTAGCACTTTATAAAAGTATAATTTGTCAATAAAATTTTCAAAAAAATTATAAAGTACTTATAAAGTACACTATCATGTCGTCTAATAAAAAATATTTTTAACTTCAAAATTCAAATCTATTTGGTATTTAATTATGAAATTATGTATGCTACTTAATAATTTATTTATAAAATTAAGGTTAATATTTATACTACTTATTATTTTAAAGAATTAATTCTGTTAAAATCAGGGTTCCGATATCTGCGGATTTTTCCTCATTTTATGGTTTTTTGATAGGTCGATTTTTTCTTATCTTTAAAAATGCGGATTTGCGGATTTTTGTGGTCTTTTGAAGATTATGAGGATTTTTTATATTTTCTTGTAGTTTTTAGTATAAAATAGGTACGTAATTTTTCGCTAAGAAGACAAAGATTCAAGTGTAATTTTTCAGTTAATTGTTTGGATTTTCATTAAATGAAACTTTTTATAATTTTAATCTTTTTGTTATTCAATACAATATTTTGGAGTTTAATTAATTGTGTGGAAAATGAGAAAAATTTAAATGAAGGGACTAGTTCTATGAGTAAAGAAGTTCTAGAGAAATCAAACGAAATGGCCGAATCGTCTGTTAATCCTCAAAGTCAGAAATATAAAGAAATGTTAAAACCTAAGTTTAAAATTAATAAAAATACAAAAAAGGACATAAATGGAAATGAATTGGGAAGAAAATTAAGAAAAGCTGAATCCGATCGAAAATATTACCGTAAAAATAAGCAAAAGATTAATGAAAATAATCGAATTTATTATAAAAAGAATGAAGTAAAGAGGCGAGAATATGCAAACAAATATTATCAAAAGAACAAAGAAAAGAAGCGAGAATATGATCGAAAGAAGTACATTAAAAATAAGGATAAGATGAAGGAAAATATGAGAAAATATCGTCAAAAAAAGAAAAATGAGAAAGAAATTCTTCAAAAAGAATTAACAATTCAATCTGTTAATCAAGAAGGGACTTCTTTTGTTCATCCACAGAATAATAATTGTGAAGGTAAAGGAAAAGAGTCTTGTGAGGAAGAGAGTCTTCAACTGGAAGAGGCGCCTCATGAGGATGGGACGCCTCATGAGGAAGAGAGTCTTCATTTGGAAGGGACTGAGAAAAATAATAAGGAAGAAGAAAATCCATTTAGAGACATTGATTTGAATCTGCCAGTTAATGGGATAGATTTAAATAAGAAGTTACAATTTGATCTGAACAAAGAGCCTGAGGGTTGTGATGAGATATGAACTTATAATTTTGGTTAATTTTCGAAGTAAAATAAATTCAATTACAAAAATGTTTTTGTTTCCAAGATACTTTCGCAACAAGAGATTCATTTCTATCAAGTTGCCATTTTCTATTCAAGCCGACGTTCGGTGCATTTTTTCGAGCTTGTCGATTCGGTTCGTTTTTGAGCTGAAAAGCCTCGGCTCGCTCAATCTTTCGGTTTTCGTTCGATGAGCTGGCAACCCTAATTCTTATCAATAATAATTTCTGTTAATTTAAAATTCTATTTAATCACGGAGAATAAAAGTAATATGTAGTTTTTTTAAAATTATTCTCTAAAAAATTTTTGGAGAATTTAAATATATGTTTTAAACGTCTAACTAACTAGCTAATAATTTAAAGAGAGTGTCAAATTAAAAGTTCTTTCGCCATTTTAAATTTAATAATATTAGCGATTGAAATAAAGGAAATTTATATTAAAAATTATGATTTTATCCGTACTGTGCCTTCTTTAAGACCTCGTCTGTTTTTATTATTTATTTGATAAAGTCCTGCAGCTGAAGGCACGGGAAGTGATCGTACGGGGCATGGACAATAGTTCTTCTCTGCTCCCTCTCTCCCAGGTTTTCCGGGCTTGGAACAAAAAATTAAATGTAATAATTAAAAAAGTTTCTCACCTTTCCAGGTATTCCTGGCTCGCCCAGATCTCCTGCTGGGCCTGGTTGTCCTACTAGGCCAGGAAGACCATCACTTCCTGGTTGACCGTCTAATCCTGGCAGGCCCTGATCACCAGGTGGTCCAATTGGTCCCGGCGATCCTTTCGGACCAGGAGTGTTAATACTGAATTGAAGGTGCTGAATTGAAATTCTAGACATTTTTTTACTATTTTATGATCCTTCCTCCGCCAAGACCAGATTCTCCATTTTTACCAGGAGGACCTGAAATGGAAATAAATGCTTAAATTTCGATATTTTTATTTTTTCTTATTACCGGGGGGACCACTATCACCAGGCGGTCCATCATTTCCAGGAACTCCATCATTTCCCTGTCTCCCATTCTCACCCATTTTTCCGTCCGGACCAGGGGGACCTGTAAATGTTTGAATATTTAGTTAATCTATTCAATAAACCTTGTATTCCAGGTCTTCCTTTCGGACCAGGTTCTCCAGCTGGGCACTTCACACATGGTGGTTTAACCTTTTCAAAAATAAAAATGCCTCCTTTTTCGCCTGGCTTGCCAGGTGGTCCGTTCTGGCCCGGAACTGCAAATTTTGAGATTATGGGAAAATTTTTTTCTCTTCTGATAGACTTTATCACAAGCTATCAGAACTTAATTAAAATTCCCTCTTACTTCCTGGTTCGCCTTTTTCTCCATCTGGACCAGGAAGTCCTTTAGGGCAGTTTTGGGCACTTGGAGCACAATCTGAACATTTAAAGATTAATATAGAATCAGAATGACATGGTCCTAGTATCATGTTCACTTTCTGAATCGATATTTGTATGGGTGTTATAAAGATGTTCTAACAAAGATAAATTTTATAGGAGATAGATTTTCTGTTTATCTCTTATGTATGTCATTTAATACAATTTCAGTATAGGTACATAAAAACTTACGACAATTTGGATCAGTAGCACCCCCATAAAATGTTTGCCGTTTATTTCTTTGAAATTTTGGATCCAAAAGTAATTCCCAAGATTTATCAGTTATTAACTAAAATAAGAAAATAAAAAATCTTTTTTTAGTTTAAGAAACTTTAAATTCTATTTTCTCTTGTTTTAATTCAGCATCCATCTTTTCCAAATCAAAAAATAAATTTAAACTTATCATTAAAGCTCCTATTGTAAAAGCAAAACAAATTGAAGATAATATTTGAATAGGGGTATTTTTGTCAGGCATAGTAAACATTTTCTAAATAGAAAATTTTTGTTTTAAATTTATTAGTTTATTTCGAGTTCTCTTTCTTTTTAAATTTTGTATTAACAACTCTTAATTTTATTGTTATTCTAGTGTGTATATGTTCTGAAGCCTCGGTTCAAGAGCCATTTCGGTCGCATAGTCTGGATTTTCCAACAGGACTCTGCTCCGGCACACAAGACGAAAGAAGTTCAGGACTGGTGCAAGGCCAATTTTCCTGGGTTCATTAGCGCTCAGGAATGGCCGTCCTACTCCCCGAATCTAAACCCAATGGATAATTCTTTTTGGTCTATTTTGGAGTCCAGGGTCTGTGCTAAGCCTCAAAAAAGTTTGGAGTCTCTGCGCCATTCTCTCAGCCGGGAGTGGCACTTAATTACACTCAAAGAGGTGCGTGCTATATGCGAAAATTTTTCTTCGCGCCTTCGCCTCTGTATCAAAGCCAAGGGTGGGCACACAGTATCTTCTTGATTATTTTTGTTCCTTATTTAATTCTCTATCATTTGATTGTATTTCGATTTTATTTGATTGTGTTTTAATAAAGTTATGAGAGAAAACAAGTGTGCAATTACTTATGGCGCACCCTGTACAGCTTGAATGTTATGATCAGTTATGATCATAACGCTTATTTATAGTTGATAGTATAAATGTTGTAACATTAAGGAGTAAAATTAAAATCTTTTATGGCCTGATAACTGAGAAGGAAATAATTCTATGATTAAAAAATTTTTTGTTGGAAATACATTTAAAAACTAGTTTTCGTATAATATTTTATCCAATCACATATACATTACATATTTTGTTTACTAAACAAAGCATAGAGGTTTATAAAAAAGTAAAATAATTTTAAAAAATTATTTTGTTAGGCCAACAAAATAATTATAAATTTAAAAGGTTTACAAATTGGCTAATTAATTAATAATTCCGTTATTTTCTAAATTTGCTTTTTGTCCAAAAAATCTTTTTTATTATTACTTTTTCCCTTTATTTTCTCATTTTCCAAACCATTAATTTGATATTAAGTTTTGTTAGCTTCTCCTAAATAAATCCACAATGTAAACCTGTTATAGCATCTTTATTGGAGAAAAACAAGAATTTATATTTAATTTATTTTATGTGATCATTTTTTGAATGGTTTTTTTGTTACATATGCGGACAAAAAATCTTTTATGGTAAGCACATTATGGAATTTAGATAGAGGAAACATTAATCAACACAAGAATTAAAGCTATAGCCATAAAAATTATTTTAACTACGAGAATTATGAAAATTTAGAATTTTAAATATATTTTGTCGTATTATTCATAAAAATTATTTTTTAAATTTTGAAAATAATTTTAAACAAAAAAAAACATTTTATTTAAATAAAAAATCAGAAAGTTTCTATCATGAAAGAAAGGTTCAAACATCACAAAATTTCGAATCGGAAATTTATTAAAATTACAGAGAGTTCCTAATTCACCAGTAAGGTTATCGGATATTTGGAAATCTTCGGATATCCGAACCAAAAATTTCCGGATATCTGGTCTTTTTTTGGGTCCGGATCCGACAACCTTATTCACCCGTACAAACCCAAAGATTATCGTAGAAATAAAACTATATTTTCTAAAAATATTTTTAGATAGAAAAAAGGGTATGGGTTTCACAGAAGGCCGAGTTACAGGCTTTATAGCAATTAGCGCTTCATTTATTGTAGTTTACTTAACATCATTTTATCTACAACAAATGTTACTACAAATTAATAATATTCGAAGGGAAGTGGGTGTCGGAATGGATGAGTTTAAAACATTACAGGTAAATTTTTAAAATCTGTCAAAAATCCTCTTAGTATGCCAATAAAAGCTAAAATTCTCTTTGAATTTAAGGGAAATCTGTGGACTGATTTGCTGGTTAATACAAAGAAAAAATTTTCTGTCCTCTCAGTTTCTTCAATTACCGATGCAAGAATTAAAAAACGACAGGCTTCAAATCCTAGCTGTGATTGTATTAATACAGCACAGTGCCCACCAGGTCCTCCTGGACCCCCAGGCCAAGCGGGACTTGATGGGGAACATGGAAAACCAGGTGAACCTGGACCTGTGGGGGAACAGGCAATAGCATCACAAACACAGGCGCCAGTTGAAGAAAGTTGTCGTAAGTTGTAAAATACAGTAAAGCTGTCCGAGAATTTTCTAATTAACAATAATTTCACTCAAATTAAACAGGTGTTTGCCCACCAGGACCTCAAGGTCTTAGAGGATATCCTGGACCTGCTGGCCCGCCTGGAGCTCCTGTAAGTAAATAATATAAAGCTAAATAAATAATTTGAGGGCGGTTCTGGATTGCCTGGACTTGCTGGAAAGCCTGGCCATCCTGGACAGAGTAACAAAATTTTAATTCTAAAAATATTATTAATCATTAAAAAGTTGGATCACCTGGCGAGATGGGTCAACAGGGAATGGCAGGCAAAGAAGGAATGCCTGGCCCTCCTGGATTGGAAGGTGTCAGAGGAACAGCTGGAAGGCAAGGCGAGCCAGGATTGGCTGGAATGCCAGGGCCAAAGGGTTATAGCGGAGCTCCAGGTGAATCTTATAAGGAAATAAAATTAAAAATAATTTAAGGCCGTCCTGGTATGCCAGGCTTGCAAGGGATGAAGGGAGAAGCTGGTCAAGAAGGTCCACCTGGACAGCCTGGTAGATTATAATAAATTTACAAAAGATTGAAAATTATCTAAAAATGTTTTATTAAAGGGTGGGATGGAATGCGAGGACAATTTGGGGAAAATGGACAACCTGGTCCCGATGCGAGGTAATATTTATGAATAAAATGAATCACAACAATATAATTAAATTCTTATAAAGCTATTGTAAATGTCCACAACGTCTATCACTTACTGGGGAGGCACCAACAATAACTAGCTCGAAAGATACCATCAGTATTCCATCAAATCCTTCCCCTCCCTCTTTTGGACCGAAGGAAACAAATGCTAGCAGTTCTACAACTGAAGAAATGAGTTCGAAGGAAAAGGAAGTGTATGTAAGCAAAGGTTATGGAAAGAAATAACAAAATATTAGATTTTTAATTATTTTACACTTAAACGACGGAAAATTTTACACGACGGTAAAGCCTAGAAACGTGCGAGACCGAAAATTTTCCAAGACTCAAGACCAAGACTACACCCCAAAACCAAAGACTAGACCCCAAGACTCAAGACCAAAAATTAACAAGACTCAAGACAATTTTTAGGTCACATAGGTCAAATTTTTGGTTTATTTTTTGTTATTTTGACACAATCACAGTCAACTTCAGCACAATCAACTATAATTTCGAAAAATCTATCCGAAATTCAAAGAATTTTGGTGAATTTATCCGGGTGGAATACATATCAATGAAATATATTATTTCAGAGGATTTGGGTGGATTAAAGGGATATCGAGTGATATCAAAGGATTAAGAGGGATAAACGTGGGATTTAGTGAATTATGAGGGATGTCCGGGGATTAGGAGATTATCGAACGATATAGCAAGGGCGTAGTCTGGGGGTCCAAAATTCTCAAATTTTCGCATGAATATATGAATTTTAGAATCTTCAACAGTTAACGCCATTTCGGCTTTTTTGCATCCGAATTAACAATTACCCGAAATCTTTTCAAAACTAGGACATTTTATTTTCATGATATCGAATCGTTTCACAATTTTGGACCCAGTGTCACTGAATTTGTTTCTAATTCTTGGATGAGAAAATGAATCTCTCCGAATCTGATTTCTGGGGCATCAATTTCTGTGATATCTTAGCATACTCACACCCCCTAATTTGGCGACTAACAATCGAATTTTAATACTAATTTTGACTAAAGAATTACATTCATTATCAAATAATGATTTATGCCACTCAGGGCCACGCGACTCAGGGCCACGAGGCAGACGTAAAGGTAGTTGTAACAACCATTTCTGAATTTCAGGAAAAATCGGCCGAAGGAAAAGAACCATTTTGGTGTAATCCAGACCGAGTGAATGTCAGCCTTTCAGGAGCCCGCCATGGATTGGTTTTGATTGGCAACCTTAACATTCTTGAACAAAAGAAAGGATGGAAAGAGTTCTTGGCAGAAGCAAAACAAAAAACTATTGTAGTTGGCCAAGACTACTTGGCAAGACTACCTGGACGTCAAAAGAATGGATGGTGCGAAACACAACCAGAAAGGTGAACTCATGGATGCAACAGGTAAATCAGTGCGCTGTATTTCATATTACGCTGAAAAGGACGTCGCAATGTAAGTGGGGGAGGGTACCATCGTTATAACACTTATTTTTATGAAAACGAAAAATTCCCTCAACTTGGTGCTGGCCCATCGAAAAGAAGCGTAAGAAAATGAACAACTGAAGAAAAGAAGCTTTGAAAACGAAGTAGAAACTTTTAAAAAAATGTAAATAAAAATTTAAATATTAAATAATTTTAAAATAAGGGGATTTGTTGTTTTAAAAATTATAATTTACCTTAAAATTCACTCACCATTAGGTCTATTCACTCTTCCACCTCTTTTAATCTTTTTTAATCTTCATCCTCTATCATCTCTCCAATTTGGCAAAGGGAATTAATCCGGGATACATACACATGAGAGACCAAGGCCTTCAATTCTAAGCGGGCTGAAAGGGCATATCGATTAGGAGATGCGCGGAGGACTGCCAGAACGTCAGTTGGGCAACACCAGTTGATGTACTTGACCGTTAAATTACGGAAAGTCAGGTACGGTCTCAAGTGATGTTGTCGAAGGAGGAAGCCCAAAAATGCCAAAATCCTTAGTTAAAATTTCTTTTTATTTTCTTTTCATTTTAAGATCGAGGACGATCTTATCAAAGGGCAGAGCTGTAATGAAGATTTAAATAGTCTAATATTAAATAATTCCTTACTCTAGAACAATAAAAGTCAAATCCCAGCTCCTTATATTTTATAATTAATCCCGCCCATTTTTATCACTTATAATAAATTGTATCCCCAGTTAGTCAGCTAGTTTTCCCTATTTTTATTATTAAAATGTGAATTGTATTTAAAATGAGAAATAAAATTGGTGACAGTCGTCTAGTTTATTTATAATTATATTACGAAAGAATAGTTGAGTTGATCCGATTAGTTTATATACAATTATTAAACTTCTGCGATGGCTATCAGCAAAGTCAATGCCTTCGCTCAACTAATTAAAATTAATTTTAAAATAATATTAGTTTAGAATCAGCGAGTCTAAAGTAGAGTTGCTGGATTCTGGGAAATCCCAGTATATCCTGATCCTATATATGAATCTGCCAGCGTTAGTTTAAAGGTGACGAGAAATGACTAAAGGAGCTACCTTCCTTTGATTTTATTTTTTATTTCAAATATATCGAGAAAATATATAATTTAAAAACAAAATTATTAGGGAAAATATCTTAATCATCATCAGCTCCACTATTAACGCTAATTAATTGTTTTTGTTCTTTTCTTCTTTTTCTCATTTCACAAAAAACAATGATAAAAAGTAATAAGAATACCAACAAAATAATTACACCGAGAGGTAAAAGCCAAGAGAATTCACCTGAAATTTCATTTTTTTTCTCATTTTAAGGAAGGGAAGAGGGCATTTTGAAGAGGTTTTTGGAGGATATTCCTTTTAAGGGTGGAAAAATGCAAAATTTACAAGAAGCTCCATCCGGAATATTTTGGGATGCCAAAAAGTTAGAGTATCAATAAAAATCAGGGATGAGCCGAAATAACCAAGACCCGGACGCTTTTCAACTAGCAGCCTGACCCAGGAAATTTTCGAAAACCATACCCGAAACTCTACCACGTTAACTTACCCCCACCGTGATACAAGCCAATAGCAATTCCTACGCCTAAATTACAGAAGAAACAGTTCAAGATGTCAAGGATGGACATTTAATTCTGGATCCGGAATAATCCGACCGGAACAAGCGCCGATTTGAGAAGAAAGCGGACTGGGTCTTAAAAATTTCTTCGGATCGAGCTTAGTGTTGAAAAGAGTGCGGTTTAAAGCCCTCCAGATCTTTTTAATTTCTCCTCTAATTTTCCCCTATTATTACCAACTTTTTATTCGTAGATATCTTTCAATGCTTACTGTAGATTGTAATTTTTTATTTACACTTGAAAATCGGTCTGTAATTGTGTTGACAGCTTTGCATGTATAAATGCCATGATCTAGATAAGTGACATTTTTGATTAGCAAAGTGCCGTTATTGTCAACGTGTATCCTTTCATCCTTCTAGAATTTTTAAGCGATTTAAATGAAACTTTTTTAGAAGTCTTAGAATTACGGGCTACAATATGTTTCTAAAAATCCATGAACAGTTACAACGAATCGGGAGCAGATTGACACATGACGGAATTTTTTGGAAAGCCCCTCAAAATCCAATTTTTGGATTCTAGTTTTTGGAAGAATTCAGCGTGTGGGTTGACAGGGCCTAAGAAATCTTCGGTTATCAGTGTTCGCAAACCCTACCCTCGGGATGCCTTTTGAACTTGTGAAACTCGTTATGGGATCCTGGGATTGCGCTTTTACCAATATCTAACAGACAGAGGTTTTTGAAAATAATTTCAAAACATCTCTTTGGGATTAATTGTCATTTTTAAAAAATTAAATTTTTAAAATAATTTCTACCCCAATATCTTGTGCTCCTTTAAACCATACAAATTGAACTTTTGGATTGCCATATACTGGACAAGTCAAAAGAACATCACTGCCACGAATAACACTTTTAAATAAATTAAAAAATATTTCTAAAAGTCTTATTTACGTTTTAGTACTTCCTTCAAATTGAAATTTTTGTTCTGGAATATCGTATATTCTTAACCGTGTGTTGCTTAGCACAACTGGGCGAACTGTTGAAATAAGGAAAATTAAAAACATATTCAAGTTATAGACTAGGCATTAATTCTAGAGAATTTTTACAGTATGCCTCGTTGAATTAATTTTCAAAAAATCTGTGGGATAAAGTGCCATCTAGAGATCGTACATAGGATACACCTTCTAAGATACACATAAGGTAAGATTTTTTAATTCTGAGATTGAATCCTAGATGAGTTACAATTTTATTTCCATACGAAGGACAGAATTATCTCAATAAACACCCACTATAAACAGTAATTGTGCCATAGACAAGTCCGTGATCTTTAGTTTTAACATGACAAGTCCATTGCCCTGCATGATCTACATACACCTTTAAAAATTAAAACATGCCAGAAATTTGAGTAAAAAAGACAACAAACTTCAGTAATGTCAAGTGTTCCATTATAATTGCTTCCCTCACTAAAGTTGGCAACATGGGTTTTCCCATTGTGTGTAAAATCTTTTTTGTTAAAAAATTTTTTTTAATTTTTTTAATTTTTCGATTTGGTTCTTTTCCTTTATAATCCAAAAAATAAAAAATTCCATCTCTTCTGCAAATTTTGTCCGCAAGTCATATTGCGGACAAAATTTAACTTGCGGACAAAATCTTCAGATTTTTTGGAAAATTTTATAATTTTTCAGGGAGCCTGAAGGAGAAAAAGAACTTCTTAATTTTTATTTTTAAAAATTTAATAATTTACAAATTTCTTCAGCAGGCAAAGCTGTAACAGGAGATCTTCTATTACTGTTAGATATTTCCACTGCCTGACACCACAAAGTTAAAGGTGCATCAGTTTCTAGAAGGCCTTGTTGTTTCACTAACCCATTTTTTACCCAAAAAAAAATAAATTTAAAAATTTTCAAAAATTTCAAAAATTTTTTTACTAAAATTGTGACGCCCACAGATCCCTTAACTTTAACTTCACTTTTTTGTGACTGATTGGTTGTTGCCCTCTGTTTTTGTTGTTGAGAGTTAATTAACGAAAGGTTAATAATTACTATGGATAATAAAAAAGATGGAAATAACATTTATTCTAAATGTAATTTTGTTTGGGCACTTGTGAAGAATTTAGAGGTAGAGATTTGTGGTCTTTCGCGACTAATTTTGCGGACCTTCCTTTGCTGATTTATTTTGCGGACTATTTTTGCAGGCTTTTTTCGTATTGGTCTTGAGTTTTAAAAAATATTTGGTCTTGAACGTCCTTATAAATTAAATTAATCATAAAAAATCCAGAGGGAAAAGAATGGTGTTAATCTTTGAGCTCCGTAAACACTAATTTGTAAGGAATTTAGTTAGTATTAAAAAGCTACTAATAAATTGACATTATTTTAGGAAGGGAAACACGTGCCTAATAAATTGTTATATTATTAAGTTCAAAAATCGAGCTAACTTATTTAAACGAGAAAGATTAGTTTTCGGTCAGAAGCTACCGTATGTATGTACTCTATTAATTACCCTGGGTAATTATTGTTTCGACCTCTCTCTGAAAAGGGTAATTAATGGAGGTTGTAAGGCCAATTATAACTAGTTTTAAGGGAGTAATTATTGTTTCAACATTTCGCTGAAGGGGGTAACTGATAGAGGTGGGGTAATTATTTGAGGAAGGGTAATTAATAGAGTATAAACGGTAGTTCTTGAGGGATTCGGTGGACTGAAGAATTACTTCCCTGTCAAAGTGTTTCTAATTAAAACTTTGAAATTTGTTTTATTTTTAAAATTGGCTTGTGATATAAGCACGGCTTTTAGCCTTGTGATTTTTTAGATTTTAGAGAAAATAAATTTTTGGATTAGTTTAAAAAAGACTAAATTAGCCAAATGGAGTGTGTATTAAAAAAAGAAAAAAATGTTGAGGGAAGTAAAAAGCATTAAACTGCAAAAAGTGCTTTTGGACATTAAAAGAAATGGAGATGGATTAAACTTTATAGAGCTTATAAATGATCGATCAAGATAAAGAAAAGAAAAAGGGATTTTAAGTGGAGGCTTTTAGGTGTTTAATGGAGACATTTTGTTGTTGTTTTCAAGTTTTTAAACTCTTTTTTGCTGTTAATGAAAGGAATGAAAGGATATGAAAAAACTTTAATGAAAGGATATGCCAAATAAATATGTAGCTATCAATCTCGTCGAATTGATAAAGAGTCATGCAAAGGTTTAGGTACCGGGTAACTAACATACCGTATTTCCTCTAAAATACCCCCACCCCCCTCTAAAATAGCCCCCTCTAGAGGTTAATCGAAAAAATAGGCCCCGGGCTTATTTTAGAGGAAATACGGTAATTATGGCAATGAAGTAAAGTTATCTCCTCCTAAAAGCTTAGGAAGTCGGCTGGAAACATGGATGACCATAACTTTTTTTTAAATTGTCCAATTCTGATAATTTTTTGTTTATATCGAGTTTATTTTGAAATTTATTTTCTGAAATTAAAAATATCATTTTAAATTCTTTCAAAAAAAAGTTATTCCAAAATGTTTTGTCCTCAAATGTCGAATAGTCGAGAAAATAATTAAAATAAATATTTAATTAAAAGTCTGAATAAACAGTTTTATATTTACCCCTTTTCCCCTCTTTTTAAAACAAAATACTACAAATAAAAATGTCTGTTTAATGCCCTCTTACACTGTCAGATTTTATTTTAGCGCGGATATGCCAAGTGCCAAAGGCAGTAAAAAAAGGCGTGAAAAAAAGAACAACAATAAAGGCAAAAACAGTTGTGTGTGTGTACTCGATTCCCTCCTTCCTTTCCTTTCTTTGAAAACATTTCCCTTTTGGGACTTAACTAATTCAATTGAGCTTTTTTTTTAAAAAGAGCCGCGGAAATGATAAAAAAATTGTTTAAGTGTGAGAAAAGTGAGAAGGATGGGGAAAAATAACAGGAAAAGCTTGGGTAAAATAATAAATAAATATTAGTTTCGGATTTCCCAAGAGGTGGTTTTGATAGAAATTATTGGGATGAGTAAGTATTAATATTTATGTAAATTCTGATAAACGGGTAATTAAATTGTTGCATGTCTATGAGATGCAAGAAACATGGAATAGACTGCTTGACAGGCACATAAAAATTACCGTACTAAAATGAATTTATAACTGAAATATTTATACATATCTAAACTTGGAATTATAAAATGAAAAATAGTTTTCGGATAGGGGTGTTTAGAGAAAAAATCGGGACTGGGATTCTGGAATGGTGATACAGAACCCGATCCCGGATCCTTACACAGGATCGGGATTAGCCTAGCCGAAATCGGTATCGGGATTTGGAAATAATAAATAAATTTTGGTAAAAATGTGCAAAAATATTGAAAAAAGAGCTAAATACATATTGAAATAACCATGAAATCTGCAAAATATTGAAATATATTGAAATGTAACTTCGTTCAAAATCATAATATCGAAAAACTAATGGCATATTTGGGCTTTTCTCGAGATAATATATTCAGGAAAAAAAATATTTCAATACAACTCCGATCCCCATACATAATAAAAATAAACGTTTAATTTTTAAAGTTTAAAAATTTTTGAAGGAGTTTTTGATTTTTTAATTTTTTCATTTTAATTTTCTTCATTTTTGTTTCTTCTTCAATCACATTTAATTCGGGATTTGGTTTCCATTTGGGGTTTTCATTCTTCTCTTCAGACTTTTCTTCTACTAACCAATCTTCTAATTTAATATCATTTTCACTTTTTGTGTTTATCTTAATTTCAAACGCCCCAAATTTGAATTCAATTCCAACTGAATTTAAAACATCTCTTGACTTTGGCAATACATAATAAAGACAAAATGGATATAACTTTTGTAGTTTTCCTCCAAATGAGTGCTTTAACGTAGCACAAAAGTGAAGTATATGTAGAAATTTTGTAACTGTCTCAAAATCTTTTTTCGCTTTCTTAAAATGGAATTTTGTTTGATTATTATTTTATTAATAAAATTATATACTAAATAAATTAGAAGAGCGGGAAATTGTAAATTCTTAGGGAGGAGTAAGCTTTATTCAATTTGATATGATTCATACTAGATTTTGAATGATTCAAGAAAAACTTATTAAACTTTTGTTGATTTATAATAGTATTATGTTTAAACTGTTTTTGAACATGTTCAGTTTCTTCAAATGCTTACCAATGAAGCATGTCTTAAGCATATAGTTATTTATGTCCTGAGGGCGCCCTGTTATGTTTTGATTCAGCTGGTCGAGCCGCATCGAACCATACCAGGGCGCCACGGATTCGACAATGTTGAACAAAGTTATAGTCAACGGTACATTAGGCTAGCTGTACGCTTAATGTAATGGATAACAAATCTAAATTTAAATTAAGGCCAAGCCTTATTCCAATTTTTTGCCTTTGAGGCTCTCACCTCTCATGGAAATTATGAGATTAAGTTGGGTGTTCTTTTTTTTATTAAAATATTTAATTTAAATTAAAAACCAAATTATCAAGAGTTTTGTTAAACTCCTTGCTTGCATTCTTAATATCAGCGTCTTTATATATAGTAAATTGATCTATTAATTTTTTAATTTTTTCTTCTTGATCAGCTTGTTTGGAACTATTTTCCTTCACTTTTTCGTTTAAATTCTTCAATTTAATTATCAAATTCCCTTTTTCAGTTTCATTTTCCAATAAATTATATACTAAACCAATAAAATTGTTAGAATTTGTTTCAGTAGAGCATAAAATTTTGAAATAAATATCAAAATCTTGAGCAATATTTTCAACTTCTTTTTTAATTGAAGTAAATATTTCTTCTATTTTGTCTTGTGGAAATGCTAAAAATTTAATTTTTAAGTAGGGCTACTAGTTAGGGTTGGTATCACTAGAGATGCAGCCGATGTTTATAGGCTATGACCTCTTGTCTTGCTCGAATCCGGTGGAAGAAGTTTACAACTAAATGGAAGAAGTTTGATAGTTATTGATAGTTACACCTTATAAGCAGAGAGTTTATTAAGGGTTTTAACTATTTTTTTGCAAATTATTCATAATGAGATAAGCACAAAAAACACTCTTTTGGGTCGAAATAATGAGTTTATATTGGACCTATTCGAAGACAATTGAGCCCCATCTCGGATTCGAAAATACAAGGAATAATTGCCTTAGCTTGCTTTACCACCGCTTTACCACCTAAACAATCTAAATTCACAGAAATAAAGTTTTAGTAAATTAACAAACCACAAGGAATTGGTTGTTTTTTAAAACAAATTTTTGGAGAATTTGTTTGCAGGTCCGCAAGTCTTTTTCTCATTTCTTCCAGGCTTATTTGATCCTTTTTTAAATTATTTTTATTTGAAGTATTATGAACTTTTCCTAAGGTTGATCGTTGATACTCTCGTTCGTTATTTTGTCTTTTAATTTTGTGACGAGTTTTTCTTTCGGATGATTTGATTTCCCTTAAAGTTTTAATTGAATGTATTATCCTTGCGTTGGTTTTACATGAGGTTCCTTTCTTTAAAGTTGTATAAACTTTTTTCATAGGTGTTTTGTTAAAATCATTTTCAACAGCAATAACACTAGTTGTATTAAGGGTGTAAATGTTGAAAAAAATTAATAAAAATATAAAAATATTCATCGAAAATATATGTTATTTTCGATAAAACCTAAAATTTTCAATTCAATATGCAAATTAAGAGATAAGGTTGGCGGGTAGTTGGAAAGCTTCGGATATCCTGATACGATATCCGAACCAAAAATTACTGGATATCCGGCCTTTTTCGGATCCGGATTCGCCAACTTTATTAAGAGAAGGTTCTCTCTTACTTTACAAAGTTTTAATAAAATATACTATATGAAAAGTAAGAGAGAGGGTTTATGCATCTTAGAAACTCGAGGCATTTTTTGACCTGCACTTTCGCTCAGCTGCTTTCACTTTAACTTTTAAAATCTTTTAAAATCAGAAATGGCGAAATCGAGAAATTCTGTAACGGAACTGAGTTTCCCGCGGGACTAAACCTTATAAACCATAATTCCGATAATCACGCTTGTCCCTCAAAACCAAGGATTTTTTGTTGTTTAGATCGACAAGCGTGTCCCAAGCGGGAATCCTTACGTGCTAATCGCTAATCATAACAGTAAAATAATTTATTAAAAATATTATTTAAATAATATTAATTTAAAAGATTTTCTTTATAAATTTTTATTAATTTATAAATAGAATTTTATTTTTTAATTACTTCCATTTAACGAGGAAGGAAGAGGAAGTAAAATTTAATAATTTAATTGCTAATCAGGAAGCATGACCTTCGATTTTTTTAAATTACCATTGTAATTTAGACAATGGCAAGCAAATAAGCGGAAATAGCGTCTTGCAAATAAAAAATTGATTTTAATTTAAATTTAATAAATATTAGAAATTTAATTTGTTTTAAACATTAACTGGAGAGTTTGTCTTTTAGCATTTGTTTTTTCTTTTCGATTTTTCAACCCTGCTTCAAAGGGGAGTATTATTGTAAGGGTAGTTCTAATTCAAGGGGAATTTACTAATTTAGAAAATATTGTAAATAATTTTAAAATAATGTCGTTGACGAAATTGAAGATTTATAGATTTATTATTTTTTGATATTTTTTGAGGAATTTTATTTATTTTTGTGTGGTGACTCAGTGAGTCACTTTCCGTTTTTGACAATTTTTTGTGTATTTTTTGCAATGTACTTTACATTGCATCATTTTTATTAGGGTAGCAAGAGACCGTTTAGAAACCTCGTTTATTGTTCCCCGTGGCGGGTCAAAAAGAGAAGAGAGAAGGAAAAAGTCCGCCACAGGGAAAAATAAACCTCGAATTAAACGGTCTCGTGCTACCCTAATTTTTATTATTGTTATTTCTGCCTATAAAAGACAGGCAGAAATTTTACTTTTCAATGTTCTTTGCGATCATTCATTTCTTTGTAAATATCTTTGGAGATAAAGATTTTAGTTGTGTTGTTGTGTTTATTTGTTTATCTAGGTTAATTATTCTGCGGGAATAATTAATTCTGAGATATTTTTAATTCCTTATTAAAGAATAGGAAGGTAAAATAGTTTTACTAAGAAAGAGGAAAGTATTTTACAAATAAATTTAAAGAAAAAATTTTCAAAGATAATATTTAATCACTTTTATTCAATGCTTTTTCAAGAAAGTCTGATGATTTATGGTAAGTTAAATCCATTGAATAATATTTACGTTGATGAGAGAGCATTAACTTTAAAGCATATTCATTTTCAATACAACGACTAATTAATCGACTACATTCGGCCAATCTATGAGCCCCTTCAATTAAACCTAATCTTCGTTGATTATATCGAAGTAAAATGTTTGTGTATTTATTAGAGTCGTTTAAAAGTAATTCCTTTCCTTCAGCAGACAAGTCTTTAGAATCTTTTTGTAAAAAAATGTGAGTATGAAAGTGTGAAAAAATAGCGCAAAATTGCAGATTTTTAAAAATTCTAGACCCGAGCCCTGATTAAACCAGGGTTCGACCTTTCGGGGCGGGGGCTAATCGTACGTGAAATTCGGGTTTGGGGAATGGGGGTTGCGAATGAATTCGAACATCCGAGACGGAGAACGGTGGTTCTGGAAGGGGGGGGTGGAGACCTCCCTCCGTTCCCCGGGTAATTCCCTTCCTCGGGACAGAGATCGAGCCCTGATTTGAACTATAACCGGGCAAGTCAATTTTGAGTTCGCCTCTACAAATAAATTTTTACCCGCTTTCGTAAGAATAATAGCTAACAATAAAGCATATTCAATTTTTGTTAACACTAAACTTTTGAAGTGAGCAACAGATTTTGTATATACATAATCTGACCATTTAATCATTCTAAAAATTAAAAAAATATTTATAATAATTTTTAGATTAACCGATGATCATGTAGAAATACATCATTCTTTATAACACCGAGAGCTGGCATAACATTATCTTTACGTGTCCATGTTTCAGAGCCTAATTCTGAAGCTAGGTAAGAGCCAGTAAATGATATAAACACATAAGAAATATGCCTTAGAAGTGCAATCTATTTTATAATAATAGAAAAATATTATATTATAGGTATGTTGTATGTATAATTTTATAAGGATCATTAAGCTTGAAGCAATTTGCTTTACATTAGAACTCGAATGGTGTGGGTCGATTTAAAGAATTTAAGATTAAATATAGATGGATTAAAGGGAATATCAGGGGACTTATAGGGGCATCGATGGATCAAGAAGGATATCGTTAAATATTGAGTTATATAATTGGATTTTAAGGGATTAAAAGGGAATATTAGAGGTCATATAGATTATATATACCTGATCAGATAAAGTCAATTTTTCAAAAACAGGCATAGATTTAGCTATACCAACCAGCAAAAGTCTGTCAACAAGAATAGCTTTTTGACATCTACTATTAAATATTCCTTCATTTTGTATTGAAGATTCCCAACTTTTTAATTCATTAAAAGGTATTGGGATTGGATTTGGCTTTAAATCAAAATTTTAATTAAAAATTAAATTAAAATTTACCGAAAAATTATCAACTAAACGAAAAATATTAAAATTAGATAAAATTATTTCTTCAAACAAAATCGGGCCTTTAAGGAATATATCATCTAAATCATTAAATGCATGCATAATACGTTTTTTGGCTTCAATTATTGGTAAAATTGAGCTTATCAGTTTTTGATCTTTGATTGTTGTGTCAACAATTGGAGGATTTGAAGGCTTAAAAAGTAGAGAGCAGTTTAGATCCATTTAAGACCTCTTGCACAGTTTAGGTTTGTTTAATCGGGTTTGAACAAAGCCCTTAGCCTTATTACTAATTTTACTTTTACTTTTGTTAATGAAAAAGAGCTTTTTAAAGTTTAAGAGAAATAAGGGCTTTCAGAAAATTATAAAATCAGAATTTATACATCCTATAATGTATGGAAGATATCTTTTACATGGCATTGACCATGGTTTTCCGTTGGTTATGGACACTAAATTTGAGCAGGATCGAGATCCAAAAAACCCGGAATAATCACGCCCGATCCCGACCGGGATCCCGTTCCAGCTCAACTCTATTGACACAACCAATCTTTTTTTCTATTGCAACTGTATTTGCATTTTAATTAAATTATTTGAAGGGTTCAGGGATTGATATGTCTGGATTTTAAAAAGCGTAAGAAAAATCCATTTTTGGTAGAGTTGTCCAGGGTCATTCGACACTTCCATTGCTTCCCGGCAATGGATTTTCGATACTTTTTTACCACTTTTCCCTATCAAAAATAAATTTATACGTTAATTTCATTTCTTTGTACTTCCATTACTTCCCGGCATATATCTCGGCGTAGATATCCGACATCTACATAAAATTCTTTTCAAATTATTTTTAAATATTATTTGACAAACCCAATTTTTTCATTCCAACAGAAAAACATTTATCAAGTCTACATTTTTTACATTTTTCCCAATTTCTTTCAATTTTCTTCTCTTTTAGCAACAACAATTGTTTATGCAAACAATTACATTTACTATATTTACTCTTTTTTTCGTTTTCAAGATAACGCCTTTTTTAGAAGAATTTTTCCAAATTAAACAAAATAAAAAATACCTGAAAAAAGCCCCACAAGCCCTACATGTACTAACTCCATAATGAAAACAAACATATTCTTTACACTCACAAACTGAACATTTTTTAATCAAATTTCTTTCCATTTTTAAAATTAAATTGGTATTTTTCTAGATAAAAATAAAATGTAAATAACCGAAAAGTAATGTGACTATGCTTAATTATATTGACAAAATAGGGGCATTTTTAAGTAAATATTGTTGGGTAACCTGCCTATAATGGCTTTATTTTTCAAAAATATTAATATTTAATGTGGACGCTAGAGATTTTTATTTTAATCCTTCAATTAAAAATATTTTTTAAAAGCAATTTAGAGACAATGTAAAATAATAACATATTTAAAAACTATTATTTTTTAAATTATCTTTAAGGCAAAATTGTTGACATATTAAAATATAAAAAATTATGAGTAAAAATTAAAATGTAAAAAAATCTACTCAGTGTTGATGGAAATGTTGGCAGAAATTTTATAGAATTTTTGGCCGAACAAAAGTTAATAAATCTATCTTGAGTCTATCTTTTTTCCATGACTGTATATATGAGAATGATTTTATTTTAATAGAAAGTATTTAATTTTCTAAAAAATTATCAGCTAAACAAATAAATTTAGTAAAAGATATTAGAAAATTAAATACCCAACTTTTATTTTTAAGCCATATTTTGTGAGCCACCAACGTTTTAGATTAGAACCATCTCTGCGTACCAATACTTCAATAATGTCAATAGATTCACGGTATTTCCAAAAAATTGTGGTAATTCTTTGGTTTAGACACCAACCATTTCCTGAATCCCTTTGTGGCATCTATTATCTTGTTATGGCTAATTATATATATATAATTCGAAAGAGCTTTTCGAGCTGAGTCGAATATATATAAAATAAACGAACTCTGAATAAATGAACAAAGTTATGATCACTTGTTTTGATCCCTTGCAGAGGAACAAAAAGCAAAAAGCTTTCACAGAGAGGATCCACTTAATTTTGTTAAGTATTATCAAATCTTCCCGATATTGTATTATTCTATACAGCTCGAAGAACTCTTTCGAACGATATGCTCAAAATGGTCAGGGATTCAAAAAAATGGTGGGGGTCTAAACCAAAGAATTACCCCAATTTTTTGGAGATACCGTGAATCTATTGACATTATTGAAGTATTGATACGCAGAGCAAGGTTCTAATCTGAAAAGTTGGTGGCTCACAAAATTGAACCATGGCTTAAAAATAAAAGTTGGGTATTTAATTTTCTAATATCTTTTACTAAATTTATTTGTTTAGCTGATAATTTTTTAGAAAAATTAAAATTAAATACTTTCTATTATAATAAAATCATTCTCATACTATGTATGTATCTCATAATTACTTTGGTCCCTGCTTTTTACTTTCTCTCTCTTTTGCATAAATACTAGTGATGTTCGGGTATCCCAATCCCGACTCGGGTAAATTTCCCAAGTTTTTTAAAATTGCAAAGTTTTTAATATTGCTGAGCGATGTTGAGTGGTTAGGTTGAGTAACTTCACTCATTTTGATATTTTATGGGGCTGGGTTCGAATCCAGGGCTGGGAAATATGGGTTAAATAATGTTTCCTCCAAAAATTTTATTTTGATTTTAAAATTGCAAAGTTTTTTTAATATTAATAAACGTGAAAAAATGTAGAAAAATTATATTAAATTAAATATACGTCACTATCTTAAAATAACTTCAAATTATTTAATTATTAAGTATATTAAATGAGAAATGAAATTATTCAAATGTATTTTATTTAAATATTTTAATATTTCGGTTAGATCTTCATAATTAATTTAACCTACTTTTCGACATTATATATTTTTGCTGAAATATTTCCTATAACAGTAGAATTTTCATGATTAAAGGTTTTATTATAAATTTTATCTTTAATTTCTTGTTTACATTCTTGAGTAGTTTTTAAATTCATTTTTTGCATTTTAAAAAAGTTTTCTAGTTGTCTCAATTCTTTTAATTTTACCGCATTATTATTATTATTGTTTAACTTATTCTTTTTACTATCTTTTAACATAAATGATCAATTATGAGTGCTTAATTGTTTAATTGTTACATCATCTATTCCTTTTTTATACCACGTTTTATGAATAAGTATTATTAAATAGTAATGTAATAATCATTACGTATTATAGACCATATATAGACAATATCATTAGACCATATCAACATCACTAAATATTTCGCGTATTTCGAGATGTTCTAAAGCCGTGAGGGTATATTTTTCTACATAGCAATTGTCTATTGACCGACGATTGCTCGCATTTCAATTTTATTTACTCTAATTCGTTCATTTCAAAAATTTTAAAATTCAATAACTATGTATAATATAATGTATTTAAATGAAAAAATTTTCGAATTATATTTTTAATTTTATTAATAAATGTTATTAATAATTTTATTGATAATTTTATTATAATAATCTTATTAATAAATAAAGTTGTATACCAAAATTAAAAATTACCATTTCATCATATTAATTCACTTTTGGTTATTAAAGCCAAAAATTTTTAACTTTACTCTAGAAAAAAATTTTTTTATTTAAAAATTGGTTGATTTTACTTTTAAATTTTTCAACTCATATGTTTTAAACATGCAAATAAATTCAATCCTCTTTTAATTTTTTTATTCCCAGTTTTATCGTTCTCCTCGATGAGTTTTGTGACCGGTAGATTTCATTGCGGTTATAGCATATTTTTTAATAATAATATTCTTTAATTAATTAACTAATTTCAAAATACATATTTTGTTGTTATGTATTTAAAAATTCAAATAATTTATTTTTTAAATTAATATTCATTCTTATAATTAATATCTTTTACATTTGAGAAATATTTTGTTCATTATTTTAAATTGTATTTTTATTTTTACTTTTTTTTACCACAAGATAAGAATAAACAGAAAAACGTTCGCTTCTCGGAATTTTACTTGCTTCAGCATTTCTTTAGGAGTTTTTAATTTTTAGGTTCTCTAACTACGTGTTAATTTTCTCGAATAAATTTCATAGATTTTTTTCATTTTTTCAAAAATTATTCTTTAATATGTGAATTATTAAAAGTCTCAATATTATTAAAAGGCTATACCCTTCTTGTAATTAAAAAAAATTTTAGAAAAATTGTAAAATTTATTTCCTTGTACAAATTGAGAATTTCACCTTCGACTGTGATAAACAAATAACAAGAATATAGGAAAATACACGTAGATATAATTTTTTATTAAAATATACTGCTAAAATTTCCTTTTCCTCTAATATTGGACAGAAAAATTTTTATTTTATTAATTTTATAAATTTAAATGTATATTACTGCTTGGGAGCACCATTTTAAAGTCTATCCTATCTTATGTTTAATTTTAAATTTAGTATTTATTTATTTAATAATATACAATACTTATTGATATCTAATTTTCGCATCATGTGTATATTTTAAAAGGATAAATATTAATTTTTTATATGAAATACAAATTTTATACAAAGTTTAGATTTTAAATCAAAAATTCGAAAGGAAACTTGAAGTGAAACTTACAGTGAAAATTGAATTGAAATTACTTTTAATTTCAAAATTCAAATTACATTTTAAGTATTTCTGGTTTTATACTTAAGCATTTCTGTTTAAGCATCTTCGATTATAACTTTAATTTCAATTTAGTATTTAATTAATTGAAATAAATTATTTATTTCATTAAATTATTTACTATGTTATTTTATTTTTTTTGCCATTTTTAAATTTGCATGGTCGATTTTTGGATAATTTATCTTCTTTAGCATCAACTGTAAATATGCTTCAAATAATCTTTATTTAACCACTTTTATATAAAAATACTTTTATCAATTTATTAATTAAATTTGATTATTATCACAGAAGCACCATATTATATCCAAGTAATTATGCTTTATTATATTAATACATTTATTATCAATTTACTTGTAAATTCTTTTTAATGTGTAGGGGCGATCTTAAATGTACCATCGCCTATCCAAATATCTAAATAAATAAACAGTCGAATGCAAAACACTTTAAGCATTTAAATCTTTAATTTTTTCCAATTTTTTTAATTTTAACAAAAAATATTATTATCATTTCTGTAAATGTAAAATATCTACTTTTTTTTTAAATTATTTATAAAATTACAATTTTTTTAAAAAGTATTTGATACCATAATTATTTGCTTTGATCAATTTACTAATTATGTAAACTTTTGTAGTTTAAGAGTTAACTACATAAAGTAATTTTACATTGGTGATTAGATAAACAATCTTTGTAATGCGAGTTTAGATTTTTATAAATTAAAAATACAAACAATCTACAATAATAATTTTATCCTTGGTAATAATTAAGTGAATATTATTTATTATTACAATTCTTATTAGTGATGTGATAAACAAGTCCAGTAAGGTTTTTAAAATTTTTCAATAATTTAAATAATTCTTGTAGGAATTTAAATATAATTCAAATGTTAAAATATTTTTTTGATATTTACTTATAATAGTTTTAATAAATTTTAATAACAAGAATTAAAATAATAACTCAAATTTGTTTTTTAAAATTTTATTTTATGATGGAAAATATATATTATAAATTATAATATGGATATAGGGATCTGGTTCTATAGCCTCCCCCGAGAAAATATAATTAATCTGAGGCTAAATATAAAAACCTTTTGCTTCTCTTAATTTTTATGTACTCTTCAATAGTTTTTTAGGCTTTCTTAATTTTAAGGTTCTCATATTAAGTGTTGATTTTCTCGCATAAATTTTCATTATTTTATTTATTTCTTTTTCAATATTCTTTACTATATAATGTACAATATTAATTAAGTAGTAGTATTTAAAATCTTTCCTTTACTTGTAATTTTTAAAGTTTTAGGAAAATTTTAAAATTTATTTCCTTGTATAAAATTAAGAATTTCATCACTCTTCTACTTCAAAGAGAATACAAATAATTTTCTTCCTAAATTAGATATATATTTATATATGTATATTTTAAAATTAATTACATATATAAGTTCTTTATTTACCATTTTTAAATCTTAAGCTGTCTAGTTAAATTCAAATTTTTTAAAAATTGAAA